TGAGTCAAAAAGTGATTCAAAAGTATCATGGTATAAAGTTTTAAGAATCCCCAGATTAATGTATTTTTCTTACAGTTTTCTGTGTGCGTAGATATGATATCTGATATAAATATGCCTAAGTCTAAAAGCTTTTTCAATCAGTATAAAATCTCTAAGTAATTAGAAGGCATTGTGTCATAGTTTAATTGGAAATATTTTTGCTTTCTCACTGGTGTGTAAAATAATGACGCATTTTATAACTGATGGTATTTGAGATTCATTAAAATACAAGTAGCAAGGATCTGATGAGTGTAGGAGCCATGAAGGTGCAGCCCCTACTTTGCTGGAGACCCAAAGGGTATTTTCAGCATAAAAAGGAAACAATGGAACACCCAGTGATGACAAGTATATGGTAAAATGGATGCTGGTATAAACTAGGAAATTAACCTTTAATAAAAGAACATGGCTCAAAAGAACAAAAGGAGCCAAACAGAATTCCAACAAACCAACAAATAATGTGGAATCCCTGGGTGGGAAAAATGTAGCAAGTCTGGACACTCCGGAGACAGTGCAGTTCATAGAGTCGGACGCTGTGTGGTCACTGGGTCTTGTCTCAACCCCTTGTCCTTTTCTTAGTGATGCTCTTGCTGATGCTGAAAACCAGTCTCCTTTGCACGCCACCTCCCTACTAAAGTCCTGCCAGTAGGAGGCATGAGGAGCCTTATTTTGGGAGGAGGAAGAAACCGGAAACTGCAGCCAGGGTGAAGTGCATCACTGGGTGATGCAAGCAAGGAGGAAGATGTTTCTCCAGCCTTGTGGACCACCCTAGGGGTTCCTCCTCCAAGCACCAGCTGGCCAGCATTCCTTCCTTTAAGTCACGTCCCAGCTCCTTAAGGTCATGTCCCAGCTCTTTGAGGTCACGGCCGCCCCACCCCTCCTCCTCCAGCCCTAGGCACAGGGGCCGCTTCCTGCTTCCTGCAGTGATGTCTGGGTCACTGCATTATCTCCTCTTTGCCTTTTTTGTCCTCTAATACCCGTTACTAATTAGCCTCTATACTAAATTCCCTCTCTTAAAGTAACTCGGTTTGTCTTTCTGATTGGACCCTGGTTGACATAGGTAGACTGTTGGGCACTGACTAAATGCAACAATGCCTGTATTTATCCTATCTAGTATATTAGTGCTGGTTTCACCTGTATCTGTAAAGGGGGTATCCCGCTTTAACCACCAGGAATCTTTGAAATTAGGGTTCTCCTGGGATATTATAGGAAAAGCACTGAATCTGGGGTCAGTAAACCTGAATCCTAGCCCCAGTTTGTCATTGGGCTGCATGCCTTCTCTTAGCCTTGCTGTAACCATATAAAGAGCATGATGGTACCTACCTCTCTAATTATTGCTAGTTATTACTATTATTAGTAATACCTCTCTCCTGGGATAAGAAGAGGGATAAGATAGAACAATCAATGGATACAAAAATTGCCTCAAAGTTCACCTACAACTTCTAAAAATAAGGTGATGGTGTAATTTATGATTTCTCTTAACCAAACATACCAATTGGGTTTTAAATACTAACCTTGAACTTGTGTTAAAGCAGTTTTAGCTTTTTTAATGCCTGCTTTTAGAGCTGTTGCATATGTGTTAAGCATGACTTGAAAGAAGTGGAATTAAATAGTTGATTTCATCAGTAGTCTCGGTGATAGCATAGGAGTGTAGCCCACCTTGCCAGCCCTGTGGGAGTGAGGGTCTGGCCTGGTGAGGGGGCGTTTGTGGGAGACGCACTGTCTGCATCATCACTTGTCCCCTCGGCTCCGTCTCAGCCACACTGGCCTCGCCGCAGTCGCTTAAACCCTGACCTGTTCTAACACAGGGCACGTGCACCTTGTTAGCCCCACTCACTTTTCCCCCAGGTATTTCCAGGCTTCGTCACTTCACTTCATTCCGGTCTCTGACAGTCACATCTTCCTGAATGTTTGCTGTAAAAATCTCTGGTAAATTCTACACTGGTCAGTCTCTAACTTTAACCTGCTTCGTTTCTCTATGACCCTTGTCACTACCTGAGAGTGGTACATATGTATTTTGTTTATTCATTTATTTTCTGCTTCCTTGGCTGGAAATGTAAGCTCCGTAAGGGTGGGGACTTTGTCTATTTTGTTTTCTTGTATATTCCCAGCACTAGAAACAGTGTCTGGCACATAGTAGACCTTCAAAAACAGACTTGACAGATTAATGAGTGAGTTAATGACTAGACACTGGTGCTGTGCCAGATTTCCGTCCTCTGTGAACTTGGAGTAAAATGTGCACAAACAAGTATATAGACTTACACTCATCCTTTTGATGCTGTCTTCTTGCAAACATATCTGTCCTACCCAACATCTCCTTGAGTTAGTTAGCTAGTTAGTTAATTAGTTTGAAGTCTGGACATTTTAGTTCTGGAAAGAGTATGAGATTTGAAATCAGATGTGGTTTCAGATTGTGTCTTTACCATTACTAGCTGCCCAATACATCCCCTAACTACCCTAAGCCTTAATTTTCTCATCCAAACAATGGGGAGAATGCCCGCTCTGCTTACCTTAGTCTTACTGTAAAGATCAAATGAAATGCATTTGTCTCCCTCCCACACTGTGTTGGGAGTCTGGATTCTTCCATCAGTCCCCTCCCAGCCATTATCCTCTCTTGCAAGTCTGAGATATTTGATCTTTGTCTGCCTGTCCAACCCTAAAGATCCAGGAGGGGTGGATCCACTGCAGAGTCAACCTGATTTTGCCTTCCAAGTCTTCCCAGATACGAACTGAAGACAATACACATGAAGACAAGGCAGCCTCTTTTCCATCCTACTCATAATTGCTAATATATAATTGCCTCGGCAACTTGATCATCTGCCCCGGTAACAGATATCCCTTCTCTACACTTGCAAAGCCGTTGGAACAGGACAGAGAAAACAGTATCCAACAGAAGAGAGAGCAGAGGTTTCTCTATGACAAGGCCTAGGATAAGGACATTATTGTCCAGAAGGAAAGAAATGGTTGAAAGTTTCTGAAAACAGATAGCTCCATCTCAAATGGTCTTATCAGCCTGAAAAAGAACAAAGAAAGAATCTCTCCCTTGCATAATGGTAATGGTGGAAACAAGATGAATCACTAGATGGGAATGTTGATATACCATGCTAGCGTCCTTCTGGGAATGGATGGTGGAAAAGGATCAGTTGTAGCAACAATGTCCTCTGTGAACTTGGAGTAAAATGTGCACAAACAAGTATATAGACTTACACTCATCCTTTTGATGCTGTCTTCTTGCAAACATATCTGTCCTACCCAACATCTCCTTGAGTTAGTTAGCTAGTTAGTTAATTAGTTTGAAGTCTGGACATTTTAGTTCTGGAAAGAGTATGAGATTTGAAATCAGATGTGGTTTCAGATTGTGTCTTTACCATTACTAGCTGCCCAATACATCCCCTAACTACCCTAAGCCTTAATTTTCTCATCCAAACAATGGGGAGAATGCCCGCTCTGCTTACCTTAGTCTTACTGTAAAGATCAAATGAAATGCATTTGTCTCCCTCCCACACTGTGTTGGGAGTCTGGATTCTTCCATCAGTCCCCTCCCAGCCATTATCCTCTCTTGCAAGTCTGAGATATTTGATCTTTGTCTGCCTGTCCAACCCTAAAGATCCAGGAGGGGTGGATCCACTGCAGAGTCAACCTGATTTTGCCTTCCAAGTCTTCCCAGATACGAACTGAAGACAATACACATGAAGACAAGGCAGCCTCTTTTCCATCCTACTCATAATTGCTAATATATAATTGCCTCGGCAACTTGATCATCTGCCCCGGTAACAGATATCCCTTCTCTACACTTGCAAAGCCGTTGGAACAGGACAGAGAAAACAGTATCCAACAGAAGAGAGAGCAGAGGTTTCTCTATGACAAGGCCTAGGATAAGGACATTATTGTCCAGAAGGAAAGAAATGGTTGAAAGTTTCTGAAAACAGATAGCTCCATCTCAAATGGTCTTATCAGCCTGAAAAAGAACAAAGAAAGAATCTCTCCCTTGCATAATGGTAATGGTGGAAACAAGATGAATCACTAGATGGGAATGTTGATATACCATGCTAGCGTCCTTCTGGGAATGGATGGTGGAAAAGGATCAGTTGTAGCAACAAGATCCAGAGTTGCACCAAGGAATCATGTCAGTAACTGTCTTCCCTGCAAGTCATCTTAGGACCACAGGGAGGCAAAACTGGATAGTGACGCTGGATTCTGATGTTTTTTTACGAGCTGTAATTTGTCTTGTTTCCCTCCTTGGATCTCTGTTTTCTGCACTTTCTTGTCCATAATTTATAAAATATCTGTATAGTTATAATGCCTTACTGATTTTACTTAGCTTCCTTTTTCATTGTATTGATTGGTACTAAAAGATGTGCCAGGCCTTAAAAGTCCTGACCTCAATGATGAGGTGAGGTCCAACTTTGATAATCTGAAGCAAAGACACTTGTGGTTAAAGAATGTATAAATAGCACTTGGTGTTTTTCTGCTGAGTCTGTCCGGGGAGTGCATAATGATGAGGATTCATTTCTCTTCTCTCCTAAAAAGTTGACTTCTAGAGACGTAGAAGTCAATTCTGATGCTGATGTGCCAGTTAAATTTTCCATACAAACTCAGGCATGTTTCTGAAAAAGTAAACAACAGCAACAAAACAAACCAAAAAGATCAAATGAGACAACTGAAAAAGAAAAATGCCACCTGGATGTTTACCGTTGTTATTCCTACTTCAAGTTCCCATTCAGTTTGGCACCTGAATGTTTGAGAAACTTGAGTATGACGTTCAGGGACCATATGCATTGTGTCTCTTTCCCCAATACTGATCAACTTATACCTATTTATTTTTCTCATTTTCCTTCAGTGAGGGCGATAATGCCTGTGTATTGCAGAATAGTGGATCGTTGCCTAGGTACAACAATGTACAGTGTGGGTTCTTCTCAGACTTGTTAAGGACAAAGGCCGCTGGCCCTCTTTGGGTTTCCTAGACTAGAGAAGAAGACAGGAACCAGGACGGGAAAATGGACGTGTTACATTTTAAACTGGAGCTTCCCCTGCAGTCCACGGAGCACGTTCTTGGTGTGCAGCTCCTCTTGACTTTCTCCTACCAGTTGCACGTAAGTCAATTCCTTAGGGAAGCCCATCCTTTCCCTTTTGTTTTTGAATTGAAAAGAGCCTTCTTTCTTATTTCTAGGAAAACCCACACTGCAGATGGCTCTTTTCTGAGTGTAGTTTGGGATTAATTTAGGCAAATGGAATGTTTTTCATTGGGGTCATATTGATTGTACAAGCTACTGACAGGTCAAAGGGCTCTGGGAAGAGGGCTTCCTGCATGGCTAATCCAGGTATGTTAGGCTTCAGCTGCCAACAAGTGATACTTAGAACCCAGAGCCCTTCAAATCTGATCTGGATTGGGAATGCCTCTTCTGATGATTTCAGAGGATGTCGACATTCGTGATGCAGAGCATGGCGTTTCTCCAGTCTTCCTTTGCTGTTCCGGGGTCCCAGTTATATGTGAATGGAGACCTGAGGCTGCAGCAGAGGCAGCCCCTAAGCTACTGTGGCCTGGATATTCGCTACAACGTAAGGATGCTTCTTACTGGCATCTCCTCTGTTTCTCTCTGTTACTGGTTATCAAGTTCTTTGAAGATGAAGAAATGAAAGTTGGAAATAGTATATCTCTGTGGGTGGCACAGAAGAGGATTTCTGAGGAATTCTTTCAAAATATGGAGGTAGATACATGTGTGTTTACATCTCCAAAGAGAGAAAAAAAATCTGTCTTCATCTTTAAATTGTTGTTTTCAGGTGCACGTGCGCACACACACAGCATATTCCAAGTGATCTTTTTCAGTTCACATAAAACATTTGAAAAATAATACTAACCACCATTTATTAAGCATAGAGCATATGCCATCCCTGGGTTAAGAGATTTAAATATATCATCTCATTTAATCATCACAGCAACCTTATGGGATGCTTACTCCTGTCACTACCCAGCCCTCCAGCCACTTGTCTTTGTCCCTTTGCTCCTTTCTGGCCACCCGGGCCTTTTCGCCATTCCTCAGACCCAGGAAGCAGCTCCTGCCTCCGGGTTTTTGTACTTCCTTTCCCTCTCTATCAAGTACCCACTTTGGTAGCTTATTCGAACAAAACTTTAAAACCTGTAAAAGGTAGATTTTGGCCTCTTATTTCCGTCCTGCAAATGAAAATACCGAGAGTAAGTGACTTAATGTTGTGAGAGAGTTCGTTCATCCTTGACAAAAAGATTACTGATACTGGAATAGGCCATCAGAAACAAGGGGGTGGTCTCTGAGATGAGCCTGTTGCTGGGGCAGGAGGCAGAAGATGAAAGGAGAAGTCACTCAGGCGCTCAACCCACGTCCTCCTGTGGTGTCCCAGGTGTCTGTCATCAACGGGACCAGCCCCTTTGCCCGGGACTACGACCTCACCCACATTGTTGCTGCCTACCAGGAGAGGAATGGTGAGTCGTGGGCAGTTTATTCAGGTGCCCCTGAAGGACTTTCCAGGTTGGTGGGCACTTTGGAGAGAAACAGAATCAGGGCCCTTGTCATGGTGACGATGTCAAAATGAGTGAATGTTCAGCAGTGGGAGGCTGACAGGCTACCCAGGACTTGTCCTTTTTCTCCTGACCTAGAGGCCCGCGCCCTACCCCTTCCCTCCCCTCCTCCTGTGGTCCAGCGGGGTAGTGCTGATTCACTGCCATATTTATCTGCCACTGGCTCGATAGGTTTCCTTTTGTATAGATAAGCCTGTTGAGTTGTTCCCCACACCACACCTATGAAAGAAGCCAGAGACAAATTGCTGTCTGTTGTCAGATGAAAATAGGGAATGTGGGTAACTCACCCCATATGAGCATTTGAAGGAGAACAAAGCCCCCCAGGTTCTGGCTCGAAGGTCGTGTTCAGAAAGACAGGCCCAACATGGGGTCACTTCTGCTAGGCCAGGTCACATGATTGGAGCTTAATACCTAATTTAATTGCAGTTTCAACCTCTCCCAGAAATGCAGTCAATCAGGAATTTTCTGATCAGCACTGATAGGATCATCTGTCACACTGTCCTCTCCATCCCCCAAAGGAATCCACCTAATAAGACCCTTTTGTTTCCAAATGAAGGTGACCTCACCCAGATTAATCTTTTTTCTTTTTATGACTTCCTTGTCCTGCCCTTAAATCTCTCTCCCTTTCTTTCATCTCCAGAGCATCTCTTTACTTGCTACAGTGGATGCTGCCCAAAGAATGGTCATTCAATAAAACCAATTAGGTCTTCAAATTTACTTGGATGAATTTTGTTTTTTACCAGCCGAGTGTGTCCATCCCTTACAGAGGAAGGACTCAGGTCATCCCCTGGGTGTCACTCAGTACACTTGGCTGAATGTTGGTCTGAGGTTTTCTCCAAAGACAACCAGCCATCATGGACAGTATATGTAGACATTTACCAAGTGGGTGGCTGCATTTCCACCAGCAGCATTATTCCAAAAATAAAGGGATTTTAAAACAAAAACATTTTTCTACAAATTGGTGTTTTTTTCTTTATTCCTTCTGGTCTTTGTCCATGTGCAAATTTTTAAATATAGCTTCTATTCATAAGTTAGAGATACTTTATGGCCTAAAAAACAGTTATTTTTTATACTTTGTAATACAAATATTTCTCCACACAGCTACAACATTTTAATTGGTATTTGGTGGTATCGTAGGATTCCTTTGCTCAGCCATTCAACAATTGTAGAACACACAGACTGCTTCCAAATTTTTAACATTAACAAATAATATGGGAACAATTTTGCACATTCATTTTCTCTTTCCTTTTGAATTATGTATTTGGGAGAAGTTCTGAAGTGCAGTATTTGCCTGAGAGGTCAAAGAGTATTTTTTTTTTTTTTAGCCTTCAGTATTTTATTGCCAAAGAGAGCTTTCTTGGAGTAACTCCTGATTGTATTGCAGTAACCACCATCCTGACTGACCCCAATCCCATCTGGCTGGTGGGAAGGGCGGCTGAAGCTCCATTTGTGATTAATGCTATCATCAGATACCCCGTGGAAGTCATTTCATATCCTTTCTGTGAAAGAGCCGACAGCTACTCAGTTTTGAAGAGGAAGAGGACCCCTCCGTTGTGGAAAGCCTTAGATTGGAAATTGCTATAGTGTTGTAGCCCCATAGAAATGACTCTGTTTTTCTGCTGTTCATACAGAAAAAAAAAAGTCATTTCCTGTTCATATTTCTCTCTGAGCAATTCTTCTAAGTCAGAATCATCCATATTTATGTCTTTCATAATCTCTTTATCCTTTTATCTTAAGGGTATTTGAAATATTTTTGCCATTTCCTGTCTAAACTTTGTTTTAACATTTACTTAGAAAATGTCACCTGTGACTCCTTAACTGTCTGCACTTATCTACCAGGATTCTGGGAAATGATAAAGTTTGCCTGGATCCAGTATGTCAGTATCCTGCTTATCTTCCTCTGGTTGTTTGAAAGAATCAAAAGATTTGTGTTTCAAAATCAGGTGGTGATCACAATCCCTGTAACAGCAGTGCCCCGGGGAGAACTGTATAAAGAGCACTTCTCCTAAAAGACGACTTCTGAAAACTCTGTGCAGGACCCTGGCTGCCTCACTGTTGGCTTCTGAGAACTGCCCTTTCATGAACTTTCTGCAAAGAGCCCCTGGACACGGGCGGGCATGTGTGCTTTCCCATCAGAGACAAAGAACATTCCTTTCTAAACCTTTTCTACACTAATTCCCTATCTTCTAAGCATCTGCAGAATCACCAGTGACCAGTTTGTAGAAACATCGAGTGTTCTCCAAGGCTGTGATTTGCTCTTTTTTTTTTTTTGTCTTAGACTTGAATTTCAGGAGAAAACTACAGTCAGTTCAGACACCTTGGAAAGAGTCCTATCTCTGGCCGAGCTAAGACTTTTCCTCTCTTGAACTGAGGAACATGCTCTGCATTTCTTTCCCTGTTGTGAACCACTTTCTACTCTTTTCAGGGCTCTCTCTGTGATAGATATGCAAATCACTAGCGCTTTCCCCTCCTGGGCATCTACATTTCCCATTCAGAGCTTTAATTTCCAGAACTGAGAGGCCTCGAACTGGAGAACTGGAAAGAAAGGGAGCGCTCAAGAGTGGATGTGTGCACGTGTGGGAGGGTGGGCGACACGAGGATACCGGGACCATCCACCTGCCCTCCGTCTAACAGACAGTCGCCTGTCATCGGCTCATCTGAGCAGCCCTTTATCCCTGTCCTGCTGTGGCTGGCTGGCTGCCCTGCCTTTTGCCCTCTGTACGCCTGGAATAACAGTCTGCAGTCAGAAGCGCTGTGTCACGCACAGCCCCCTCTGTAGCAGTGGGGGACATAAGGATCCTCACAACAGGTTCTTTCTCTCTGGCCCTCAACCAACAGCCTGGACACTTGCCATTCCTCCGCCTTAACAGCCCTCCCCCTTCTTGAAAAGGACATGGGTGACAGAGGAGCTGTTGTTGGTACTGGCCCCCCTGCCCAACAACCAGTTTATTTGGAGATCTAAGAGGAAGCCCAGTTTCTTGCATTTCACTTGACTAAGGAACGGCGCCCATCAGAGTGGACAGCTTTGGGGAGGGCACACAAGGAGTGGTGAGGGATAAAGAGGATGCCAGCCTGGGCAGCCCTATCCAGCCTGGCCATTAGGGTGACAAGCAGTGCAGTCAGATTATCCTCACTGCTGGGCGAGTGTCTGCCGAAGAGGCTGCTGAAAGGGACCCGTGCCGCCCGTGGAAGACCCGCTCTCCGTTCTCACCCTGAGGAAACTACACTGCCTCAAGGGACCCCGAGATGTCAGTGGCACTGGAAGGACATGCCCGCTGTGATCCCTGCTTCACGCCCACTTACAAACACTCCTCTGTGTCTGCCTCTATTTACCTTGGAGATTCAGTTATTCCAAGGCACCTTTTCTTTCAGGCCAACCAAAATGAGAGTTTTGGAAACAAAGCCATTTTGAAGTATTGAAGCACAAAAATATCCTAACACTGGCCTCTCTGCCTTTTTTTTTTTTTTTAATATTTAGTGCTGTTAATATGCCTAAAAATGTTTTCCTGAGATTTAAATGAAAAATGGTTTCTGGTGTGAATCCCAAAAAGGTGATGAGATGGGAAGATAGCTAGAGATGTATATAAATACTGCTGGCTATTTTATTAAATTATTTTATTGCAATGTTTTAATAAAGAACCATGATGTTTTGTAACTTTGTCATTAAAATGTTTAAAATGGAAGGTTGCATGTGGCTTTTTAGAGGAGAAAGGTTTGCAAGCAGGGAGGAAGAGAGGGTGGAGGTTGCGCACACTTCTCCGAGTTACTCACCAGCAGTCTAGCTGTGCCAGGGCTCTGCCCAAAGACCTTGGGGCTTTTGTTAGCTCTCTGGCACACGTCGCCTGGTCCAACCCCAAGTAAATGTGAGTTTTTGGTGGAATCCACATGGCTGTGGAAACCACAGGCTGGAAAGTTACAACTGCGTCTGGCGAATATCAAATTGTTTATGGATCAGATGTTGGTTTTTTGGTGGAATCCACATGGCTGTGGAAACCACAGGCTGGAAAGTTACAACTGCGTCTGGCGAATATCAAATTGTTTATGGATCAGATGTTGGTAGCTTCTGAACCTGAACCATACAATGTAGCTGCAAGAGAGAAAAAGGTGAGAAATGTGCAGGATTTCATCAACTGAGCTGTAACCCATAGCTAAGGGCTGCAGACAGGTACTCAGTATTTGGATTGGGGAGAGACCCTAATTTTGCCAAATTATTTCCCAGTTTTTGTTTGAATTAAGTGAGGCCCCTTTTGTTTGAAGTAAGAGCGCCACTTAGGTCTCATCCTCTAAGGTTAATAAAGCAATTCTCTGCCTACTGCTTGCTTACTTTCCTTCCCTTCATGCTTCTTAAAGTTTTTTTTTTCAGGCAGAAGAATTTTTTGTTTTGGTCTCCATATCAAATAGTCTGCTTGTAACAATTTTTACCAAACGTTTTGGGATGGGAGACAGGAGAACTGTATTCTAGTAGCGTGGAGGGTACAGAGGACTTGAATGGGCATTTGGCTTTGCGTCTTCCTCGTCATGGGGTGGGGGGAATTCTCTTGGAGCCCCAGAGTTTTCATCTGGAAAATGTGCATAACAGTACCAACTTCATGATGCTACTAAGTTTTGTTGCTTTCTGACCAGATAAATTCTAAATACCTTTTAGGAAAACAGATAATTACAGAAACCTAAGGAAAACAAGTTGTCAGTAAGTACACTTCTTGGGGCTAAAGAGCAGGCTGCCCCAAGATGCGACATTGTGACATGCAGATTATTTCAGGGTTGAGAACAACCAAGTCCCAAAAGACTCAGAAAGAAACTTTGACCTCCCACCTCCCTGTTTCATAAAGAGAACTTGGAGGAACTGCTCCAGAAAAGAGCCAAGGAGGGATGTGGCTCAGTTTGTTTAAATTCCTCCCTGTACCCCGTTGTTTCTGTGTGGGCCAGCAAACGTTTGTTTAACAAGCATTCACTCTCTCACACCCCTTTGAATTGCTCCCCTTTTCCTTTGTGGTCTCAGACCCCTACCTCTTGGTTCAGGATAACCTATATACCTCATTCTCCCTGATTGTCTTTGGAAGCCCTGTCTCTGGCTTCCCTGTATATACATAATTAAACTTTTTTTTTCTCCTGTTAATCTGTCTCATACCGATTTGATTGTTAAACCAGGTAGAAGAACCTCCAGGGCTAGAGGCGATTTCTTCCTCCCAAAAAGCCGCCCAGAGGTCATCACTGGGCATTCTGGTACACATAATTCTGCTCTTTTGTATCGTTTCTCATTTTTTTGCTATCATAAATAACGCTTCTATGAACCTTGTGTCTAAATCCTTTTGCTAGTTTATTTCCTTAAGGTAGATCCTAGGAAGGAATTCCTAATTCAAAAAGCTTATGGCCGTTCTTAAAGGTTTTAGTTCACCTTGCCAAACCACGGCTGGAAAATATGCACTAATTTATACTCCCAGCATCATCGGGTTCTTTCAGATCTCACCACGGATTCCAAGAGGTCAACATTGTCTTTTTGAGATACCTCTCTTACAGGGAGTGGGGTGGAATCCGCTTTATTTATTGAAACATTCCGTATTATTCCGGAGCTACCGTCAAGCTTGTGCCTCTAGGCTGAGGTCATAGCAGGGAGAGGACGGGAGGAGGGGGACAGCCAGCTGCGGGCCTGGCTCATGAGGACCCCCAGGTGTCTCGGCTACCGCGCTGAGAGGCCGCGGGGATCCGCCTGACGTCAAGGTGCCTGGGACGTGGTTCGGGGCTGAGACCGGGGGCTTGGGAAGCTGTTTGGATTCAAAGTCACCCCGCTTCAAGGATGAGGAGGGGCAAGATGAAGATTCGATTCCCTTCACAAGAGCCTTTTGTACTCCCAAAGCTTCCTTCTCTGGGGACTGGAGAGGGTCACATATTTGGTCAATCAGTGAGATGAGAGGTGACTTTGCGGGCGCCCTGCGCGGCCCTCGGGGCCCTGCGCGCCCGCCCGGGGCCGCGGCCCCTCCCGCGGGCTGGGGGGCGGCGCGGGAGCCGGGGGCTAGCCCGCCCCCTCCTGCCCCGTCCCCCCGCCCGCCGGCTACGTCTGAAAGCACCCCATTGTGCGCGCTCGGCTCGGACCGGGGCGCGGGAAGGGCGCGCCGGGGCTCCGGGGCAGGAGCGCCGCTGCCCGGTCCCTCTGTCGCCGCGGGGCCGCCTCCTCCGCCCCGTCCTCGCGACGCCGCTTCCCCAGGGGATCTTCGCCCTGTGGCCCGGTGTCTCCGCTCTCGGCGTCCTCGGCCCCAGTCCCTGCGTCTCAGTGCCCCCTCCCCGGCGGCAGTGGAGCCGCCGGACGGCCTCGGGACCCCACGGGACAAACCAGCCCTGCGGACTCCCCCAGGCAGGAGGCGGGGCCGGCGGGACGCTGAGGCTTGGGAGAGACGACGGCCGGGAGCCCCTGCTGAGCCCCGGGAGGCAGGCGCAGGCTTTGGGTACGTTGGCTCGCCCTCCTCCCGTGCGGGACGCCCCACCCTGGGCGGGCTTGGGCGGGGGGAGCGCGGACCTTGCGCCCGGGGGTCGGGCCTGGGGGAGGAGCTCTGGGTGGCCAGTGTCTCCGAAGGCATCGCCGGCCCAGGTGCAGGTCCCTAAGTGTCTTCCTGGGGCGTCAGCTGCTCCCGAGATCACTGCTGGGGATTCCCTTTTCTCCTGAAACTTGAGTCTCAAAGGTACGGCTTTACTCAGGCCTTTTGCATGAGCTCTTGAGGAAAAGCAGCTTGGGTCTGGCATCCCCTGCTTCTGGCGGCTGGATCTTGGGCAACGATAGAGACCTCTCTTGGCCTCAGCATAGGTGCCCAGCAAACGTTAACTCTGTTCTTACCTTTTGTACCAGAAGCATGAGGATGGGAAAAGTGAGGCCTAAAGAGCAGAAAGGACTTAGCTGTCCTGAGTGGGCAGCCGAGCACCAGAGCGGGAGGACCTGTGTGCTGCTCCCTGAGCTCTGGCCATACTCAGGGTTTTACGGTTCCGTTTACACCTCTCCAGCTCATGTGGTAGGTGCTGTGTGACCTCTTTTACAAAGGAGTCACCTGAAGCCACAGAGGTTAGTAGTCACTTGCTCAAAGTCACACACCTCAGGTGGTAGAGGCAGGATTTGAACTCCATCCGGCTTCAGAAGCCATTAGGCACAGTTTTCCATTTTGCAGGTACAAGTTTCTGCCCCTTCCTGGTCTCCTCACTTTCTGAGCCAGATTAAGCTATTGTCCTTGAGTTTTCTTATAGATTCATAGAATATAGAATAAAGAAAAAGCTTTCTAATAGATTCATAGAATATAGCTGTAACTCAGAATTTGACAGATTCCTGAACAAATATTAATGTGTACTGTGTGCCAGACATTGTACAAAGTGCTTTATAAATATTAACGCATTTCATATTCAAATCAAGCCCATGACTTGGGTTATATTATTTTCTCCATTTTATAGATGAAAAAAAAAAACAGGTACAGAGAGGGAACTTGAAACAGAGCCCTTCTAATCTAGTAAGGGGAGATAGGTAGAGAAATGCATGAATAAGAGTATTCTTAGTGGTGATAATAGCATTAACAATCATTTCTCAATATCACTTAATACTCAGTCATATGAAAATTTCTGATTACCGCAGAGATATCTTCTTACAGTTGGTTTGTTCAAATCAGACTCCAAAGTCCATGTGTCGCATTGGCTGTTAGGTGTTTTTGAGTTTTCTTCTAAAACAGTCGCCCTTTTTCTTGTTATGTCATTGACTTGTAGGAATGATCTACTTTTTTTTAATCTATGTTTTAAAAATAATAATTTAATCAAAATAAAAAGTTGGAAAAATAAATGAGAAAACATTCAGATTTCCCTGTAATTAGAGGTCTCAGTCAGCACCTGGGGGCACACGGGACTGTGCTAAATGTGTACTCCCTACCCCCATGCCCCGCGTGTGCTACTGCCGAGAAGAGGTGGGAGGCCCCATACTTTTGGGCCCTCCTGCTAAGTGATCGGTTCCAAGATCTAGGGCTCAAGTTGGGTACTGTGCAAGTGCACTTTCAGCATCCCCGAAGTTCAAAGCCAGGGAAAGGGGCTCCTAGGTTATCTGCTCATCTCTCTGAAATGCCCCCGGGGTGGTTCTGAGCCAGGGAGACCTGAGGCTCCTTTCCCAGACCAATTTGATTTCATTTCCCAATAGATTTATTGAGGCAAATCTGTTTAGGTTCTCAGCATCTGAGCTGCATGGCTCCAGGCTTCCTGCCTCTGGCTTATGCTAGGCAGCTGCTTATCAGAGCTGCCTGAGAGATAGCACAGGTGGCCAGGGCTTGGGGCAAAGCCTGTTTCTGTCACACCCTGGCTCAGCCCACAGCCCTGAAGCAGAGGGTGGGCTTGGGGGCCTTGACACTTTTGACTACCTAGAAGGTAAGTCTGCATCCGTGCTCCTGTCCTTCTCTGGCCAGCTGAGGACTCGGGTCAGTTGGGAGATGGACTTGCAAGCACCCCTCTCCTGGCAACGAAAGCTGGAGCAGGCAAACACTATCCATTCTTCCTTTAACCTGTTTCATGGTTTTATGATTACCAAAGTAATACAAGTCATTGTAGACTATCTGGAAAATGCAACAGTGCACTAACAGCAAGAAGTGACCTGTAATCTGGCTGTGGAAGGATAACCACTAATATTCAGTGTGCATCCTCCCAGATTTCTTTCTAAACATATTTATATATTTTTTAAATAACTGTTTTGTTGAGATATAATTCACATATCTTAAGTTCACCCTTTTAAAATGTACAGTTCACTGGTTTACAATATATTCATGTCATGCCTTAATCATGTCAAGGTTAATCCATGTGGTACCATGTATCAGTGCTTCATTCCTTTTTATTGCCAGATAATATTTAATCACATGGATATACCACATGTTGTTTATCCATTCTTCAGTTGAGGGACATTTGGGTTTCCACGTTTTCGCTATTGTGAATAATGCTGCTAAGAAAGTTCATGAGCGAGGTTTTATGTGGACATATGTTTTCAGTTTTCTTGGTTATATATTTTGCAGTGGACTTGCTACATCATGTGATAATTCTATGTTTAACATTTTGAGAAACTACCCGTTTCCCACAACAACTGCACCATTTTACATTCCTTCCAGCAGTGTATAAGGTTCCAGTTTCACCACATTCTCACTCACGCTTGTTATTATCTGTCTTTTTCATTATAGCTATCCCAGTGGCTGGGGCAGGGCATATCATTTGTGGTTTTGACTTGCATCTACCTAATGACTAAAAATGTTTAGCATCTTTTCATGTGCTTTTAGGCCATTTGTTTATCTTCTTGGAGAAATATCTAACCTTTTGCCTATTTCAAAATCAGATTGCTTGTCTTTGATTGTTGAGTTGTAAGAGCTCTTCATATATTCTGTGTACAAGTCCCTTGCTATATATATGGTTTGCAAGTATTTTCTCCCATCTCTGAGGGTCCTTTCACTTTCTTGATGGTGTCCTTTGATACTCATGTATTTTTAACACAATTGTATGTTTTGTTACTTGTGGTTTTTCCACCTGACTCTGTGTAGCTCCAAAGTTAGATGGTTAGGGTTCAAATTGTGACTCAGCTGCCGTGTGGGTCCTTTAGGCAAGGAAAACTGAATCTAAGCCTCAGTTTTCCTCATCTGTAGAATAGGGATAAGCATCAGGTCCACATCATAGGGTTGTTGTGAGTATTAAATCAGAAGATGGACAGAGAAGAACTGGCACATAGGAAGCCCTCAATAGATAGTATTCACTGGTGTTCTGTGTTTCTCACCTACCATTAACATTTACCGTCTGCCTCCTCTCTCTCCTTTCCTCCCTCCCTGCTGTTTCCTTTTCTCTCATTTTCTTTTCTCTTCACATCTTCTTTACTCCTCTCTCTTTTCCTCCTTTTCAGCCATCTCTCTAGCAGATGTCCTGGGGCTCCATTGCAGCCGGCTTGCCCCAAAAGTGGCCCTTAATGCTTACAGTCCATTGATACCTCATCCAGAACCCACTCTCTCTAGCCTTTGGGATTCCTGAACGGGGATGGCCTCCAGCTGACGCCAAACAAAGAAATCTGAGCCAGGGATTTGTACCTAGTGTTACATTTCACTCCCTTAGAGTTTGTGCCAGGGCCGGGAGAGGCTGGTGACAGGAGAGCTGCAGGGTGGGAGGCAGGCAGAGCGGGGCTGCCAGGGAGGGCCTCCCGGAGAACTGGATTCCTGGGCTCAAGCTCCCCTGTGGCAAGCCATCCCCTGCCCTTTAGCTCAGCTTTCCCACCTGCAAACCAGGGAGAACCTATGTCTCAGGCCAAGAAACAGTTGGAGATGTTTAGAAGAGATCGGAATTGTAAGATGCTCATCAGAAAGAAATGCGGGACAAGTGAGGAATTACTCCCTTTGGATCTGGCTCGCAGCGTATCTGATTTCAATTCAGCGAGTATTTATCAGTATCACCCTCTCATTCAGTCTTCAGCACATTCCCTGACATGACACTGTCTTACTCAGTAAAGATTCTTCATTTTTTATTGAAGTAATACGTAAGGAAAGGAGCACAGGTCATACAAATAGAGCTTGATGACTTCTCACCAGTCAAGCACACTCATGTGCAAACAGTATGACCAGCCCCCAGAAGCTCTGGCCACCCTCCCTGACAGTTCTGCCCCACCCACCTACCCACCCCCCAACCAAGGGGACTCACTGTCTAATCAGAATGATTGGTTGTAAGTGACAGAAATTCAGCTCATGCTGGATTAACTAAAAATGTATTCTCCCCAGCTGAGAAGTCCATTGGCTGAATTTTGCCAGACTGGCAAGATTTCATTTGAGTCCAGATGCTGCCTGATTGCCCAACTGTCCGTCTCCTCTGCTCAGTTCTCTTCTACGTTTGCTTTATACCCAAGCAATTTCCCTTTCCCTCACAGATCTACAAAAACCCTGAGATTGGACTTGGGGCAGATGTTCATTCCAAAGCCCATCACTGGTAGGGGGATAGTGTATAGAATATATAGGTGAACCTGATTTGGGACACGAGACCCCCTAAAACCCAGGGGTGGTGGGTCAGCCCCATTCAAACCACATGCACCTCTAGATGCAGTTGTTGGAAGGGGGAACAGGTACTGAGTGAACACAATCAACCTACGCAGGGCCAAGCCCCACACTGGATGCCTGAGAACTCATGCTCACTTGTGAAAAACTACAGTCTCAACCCTTAAATTCCTCACAAGCAAGAAGTCTGTGTCACGCAGACTAGCATAGTGGTGCCTTGTGAGAGGGACGCTGAGATGACTGCAGGGGGGTGTGGTCAGGGCTGGTTACTCAGTGCAGGCGTAGGGAAGCATGGAGCTTGTTTGAGCAACAGTGATGAATCTGGACTGTCTGAAATACAGGATGCTGGATGGGAATTATGGGAAGTGAGGTTAGGAAGCTGAAGGTTGCTGAGTAGGAGAAAGGCGTGATCGTGTGTGTGCTATAGGCAGCTCTGGTGGCCCTGTGCAATATGGAGGGAGACCAGGTGGAGGATTTTTCCAGAATCCAAGAGAGAAATATGCATGCTAAAACTTGACCCCCTGTGGGCTGGATGTCTCAGAGCACCATCTGGTCCCTTGACTATCTCATAGATGGTGTCTTTAATGTTCCCTATTAGATTGTCAACTCCACCAAAATAGGGACACTGGGTATTGGACCTCCTGGACTGATCCTATGACTTTCTGATCTTTTCTCTATCTTCCATCTTTTATCCATCATTGGTCTTTTTTGTTCTACTTTCTCCATTTCCTCGGTTTTATCTTTTAGCCCTTCTATTACAGTGTTAATCTCTAAGGCAATTTAACTCCAAGGAAAACAAAGGGTTATACAGTCAAGGAAAATGTACTTTTAATGCATTCGTGTGCTTTGGCTGTGAGCAAGTTTTTTATTGAAGTATTGTTGATATACTCTTATATTTGTTTCAAGTATATAACACAGTGGTTCAACAGTTACACACATTATAAATCCTCACCCACACTAATACGGTTACTATCTGTCAATATAGGAAAATGTCACAGAATCATTGGCTATATTCTCCATTGTGAGCTGTTTTATAAAGTCATATAATGTAAATTTAAATATTGACTTAACCAAAACTTGTTTTAGGGGGAGAAGACAATTATGTATTACCTTTCTTTTTGTATGTGTATATAGGGAAGATAAATCCTTATCTTTCATTGTAATAAGTCACTAGAAAATGCCACAAATTTTAATAGTCACAACTTTTTTTCTCTTTTTAAGAAACAGGAAAATAATTGGCAGAAGAATCAGCTAATGAAGTTGAAAGCAGTTACCTCTGATTAAGTAGAATTCTAGAACTAGAGAATGACTCATGATAACTATTTGACTTTTCAAACTATGTATATTTAAAATGATTTTAATTTAGTTTTTTTTCAGTAGATAATATATTGATATGGATAATAATTTAAGCAATGCAAAAAAGGATTTATTGTGAAATGTACTGTGACATGTCTTTTCCCCAGCTCTTTAATTCCCTTCCCAGGGGAAACTCACATGGTCACTTTTCTGTAGAAACTTCCAGCGATACCTTACTCCCTTTCCCAAGCCTTTCCCAAGTGTTTGTGGCAGCAGTCCTCGCCACAACCCTAAGAGGTTAAATGTGATCCTCCTCGTTTCACGGAGGAGGACACTGAGCCTGGGAGAAGTCCGCTCATTTGCCCCAGGTCCCCTAGCTCCTAAATGACCTGGAGGGCTCAAAGCAGGAGAAGCACCCAGCAGCAGAGACTGCTAGTTCCCACCCATTTGGAAAAATGTATCCAGCCTCCAGTCTGTGCCCAGCTCCAGCCAGGAGCAGAGCAGCTCCCCTCCCACCCGTGGACAACTTAAACTCAGCCCAGTGCGCTCTGACCAGCCCCCTCCTGCTTTCTCAGGCCCTGAAAAACCTCCACCCCTCTCCCATGGGTTTGTGATCGAGGTAGCAGCGCTCCCAGCAGCCCTGGACCACAGTGAGTATCGTCAGCAAGGGGCAAGCAGCGGCCGAGAGACTGGCTGCTCTTGTCTCTCCCCTTCTCTGGCTCCATCCTACCTCGCCCTTAACTGGGTTCTTCTGCAAACTCACATAGCTTCAGAAGGATACCCTCCCTGGGGTCCATGCTTCCGGAAGCACTTCACTCCCATGGGTGCTGGCATAGTTGGTGTTCTTTGTTTTATTTATTTTTAATAACAAGTTCTAGTTTCTTGTTTTAAAAAAAGTCAATCCAGAAGGACACAATGTAGAAAGTGCAAATTATCAATTATGGGAGTCACCATATGCCCCTCCCCTGTCCGCACTCTAATACTCCAGTACCAGTATTAATCCCTTTTACAGATGGGGAAGCTGAGTCACAGAGATAGATGGTTCCAGGATCACAGGCTACCAGCCAGGATTCAACTGGAGCGAGTGAAATTGCCCATCCAGCCGTTTAGCTAAACAAAAATTATATCCCTAAAAGAAATTCTTATGCAAAAGATGGGAATTCTGTTTTTAAAATATTTTCCTCTTCAGGAAGAAATAAAGGAAGGGGGTGAGGGAGAAGAGGAAGGAAGGAAGGAAGAAACGGACCATCCCCACAGTATCCTGCCCCTGGCCTTTTGTTTTGCATAGACAGATCATGGCTTATTTCTTAATGTCACATTCCCGGATTAGCGTCCAGTGGAGACGGTGGTGTGGTCTTGGGGGGTCAGCTGGTCAGGAGTGGGGTGTGGGGTGGGCGCCGGCTGCGGCCCCGAACTGCGGCCCTCTCCTCCCGCAGGATCCCCGCCGGCGGCATGTGGCTACCTCGCGTTTCCAGCACTGCGGTGACCGCGCTCCTCCTGGCCCAGACGGTGCTCCTGTTCATCCTGTTCTCCCAGCCCAAGTCGCCATCCCCACCGGCCGGGGAGGAGCGGGTGCACGTGCTGGTGCTGTCCTCGTGGCGCTCGGGCTCGTCCTTCGTAGGCCAGCTCTTCAACCAGCATCCCAAAGTCTTCTACCTGATGGAGCCTGCGTGGCACGTGTGGGCCACCCTGTCACAGGGCAGCGCGTCGGCGCTGCACATGGCTGTGCGTGACCTGGTGCGTTCCATCTTCCTGTGCGACATGGACGTGTTCGACGCCTACATACCCTGGCGTCGCAACCTGTCAGACCTCTTCCAGTGGATGGTGAGCCGCGCGCTGTGCTCGCCACCGGCTTGCAGTGCCTTACCGCGCGGTGCCATCAGCAGCGAGGCCGTGTGCAAGCCGCTGTGCGCCCGGCAGCCCTTCGGCCTGGTGCAGGAGGCCTGCCGCTCCTACAGCCACGTGGTGCTCAAGGAGGTGCGCTTCTTCAACCTGCAGGTGCTCTACCCACTGCTTAGCGACCCTGCACTCAACCTGCGCATCGTGCACCTGGTGCGTGACCCAAGGGCGGTGCTGCGTTCTCGGGAGCGGACGGCCAAAGCGCTGGCACGCGACAATGGCATCGTGCTGGGCACCAACGGCACGCTGGTGGAGGCTGACCCAGGCCTGCACGTGGTGCGCGAGGTGTGCCGCAGCCACGTGCGTATCGCTGAGGCCGCCACACGCAAGCCACCACCTTTCCTGCGTGGCCGCTACTTGCTGGTGCGCTTTGAGGACCTGGCGCGCTCGCCACTGTCGGAGATCCGCGCGCTCTACGCCTTCGCAGGCCTGAGCATCACACCGCAGCTCGAGGCCTGGATCCACAACATCACCCACGGGGCTGGAACGGGAGCGCGCCGCGAGGCCTTCAAGACCTCGTCCAGGGACGCAGTCAATGTCTCCCAGGCCTGGCGCCACTCACTGCCCTTCTCCAAGATCCGCCGCGTGCAGGAGCTGTGCGCTGGTGCGCTGCAGCTGCTGGGCTACCGGGCGGTGTTCTCCGAGGCTGAGCAGCGTGACCTCGCCCTGGAACTGGTGCTGCCGCGCAGCCCGAGCAGCTTCAGCTGGGTGTCATCCACCGCCGATCACCCCGGGCCTTAGTAGGGGGTCCCCAGTTGTGGTGGCACTTGTGTGTAGTGTGGAGGGAGAGGGGATGTGGGCACAGGCTGTTGCTGAAGGAGCCAGGAGTTTGGGAGTCCTGGCCTGTAGTAGGGAAGGACGGAGTCCCCAATCTCCGTGTTTCTTTCTTCCCACGTCTACATTTTCCTTCAGGTCATGGAAACCAAAACGAGGTTCCCACTTCCTCTGGGCCCGAGGAATAAGTTAAGTCCACTTGGCTCCTTTTCAAATGCTTTCTTTCCCTTAAGTCTCTCCTCCCTTGGGATGCACCAAGCAGCTGAGAAGGGGGTCCCAGCCCTGCCTGGGAGTCGAGGGGCACTGGGGCAAGAGGGCCCCTGAAGAAGCGTGTATATCTCCCCCCATACACACCCCAGACTCTGTTCCCCGTGCCCCTGGCACCACAGTCCTTCAAAGCTGGTAGCATTTATGTTCGCCTGTATCCAGCGGGAAATCAGACGAGATTTCTCTCAGCTTGTGGTCTCCCTTAGCCCGCCTACCAGGGGCCCACACCCCCCCGTCACCTGCAGGTACGGTGGACCTTTGATTTGTCCTGACAGGAAAAATCCTACCTACAGAAATAAATGTAATAACTAACCTGCATGATAAAGTTTCAACTTTATAGCCTATGAAGTCTGACAAGCAAAATGGAAAAGTTAAGGGACTTGTCCAAGGTCATATGATGAGAGGGAGGATATGGGGAGGAGGGGCTTTTGCTCTGGGGCTGCGGTGGGGAGGAGAGGTGAATCCTCTTTTATGAACAAGGTCAGATTTTCCCATCTTATGTGCCCTAGGAAAGAGCAACCTGGCACGCCTGGGACCCCTAGGTCGTGAGCTCTAGGCCCAGAGTGCAGAGTCTGGGGAGCCTCCTGGGTTTGCCTGGAGGGAGGCAGTGAGGAGGAAAGGTGGAAGGGGAAAAGGCTTGGGAGGCCAGGGCAGCCACCCAGGCAGGGTATGCGGCAGAGCAAGAGGTTGGCACCAGGATCAGTACCTGGAGGGTGAGGGGATGAATGTAACTAGATGAAGCTTGACAGGAGCTTGGAAGGAAAAGGACTCTGGGGTGGTTGTCTTCTCTGGACCTTCAGGGCCAGGCCGTGGAGGAGAGCAGAGTAGGGCCACACCTGACTCTGCAGCAGAGTCGTATTAAAGGGTTGCTGGGTGTGTAGGGGGCTTCGTCCTGAGCTCAGGAAATGAGGGCCAGCAAGTGCTCAGTAAATATTTAAAAGAAAAAAGCTCACAGAACCTCTAGAAAGGGCAGGGAAACAGACTGAATGCACACAAATAGAGGACCCCAGATCGCCCTGGGGCAGAGTTGGTCTGGAGACTGACAGTTGCCCCCAGAGCTTCTGTGCCAGAAGAAATGATGGAGCTGCTCTCACTGTTGCCATCAGTTGCCAGATGGGATTCTGGGGGTTGCAAACTTATGATTCTCAGCGCAGGTGTGGCCTTGGGTTGGTGGAACCTGGATTATGGACCCGTGTCCTTGCTGCCAAAGCAGGCAGGGCAAGGGGGATCTGCCCTTTTCTGCCTTTCTTACAAGGAGCAGAGGTATATTGACCTTGAAGCTGAAGCTTTGGGATACTTCATTCGAGGTTCCATCAAGCTGTAGAAGCTTCAGGCCCCATAGAACTTCTGTTTGCCCATGCTCACAATGCCAGGAGGAAAGTATTTAAATCCCAAATTTATTAATGGGGACCCTGATGCTTAGAAAGGCTTGGGTCACATAGCTTAATATATGGACCCTAGGATTCAAGTTACATCTTTTACTTCAGTACTTATAATTCCAACAGATAAACTGAAGTGGAGATGCAGCATAGAACCCCAAATGCTTAGAAACCGGATTATTTCCTCCTGGCAATAACATGGGCCTCTGGGGGTTCTGCCATTTGGCTGCAAACATCTCAAGGACCAGAACATGGAAGGCTATGGTTGGGTATGAAATTGGTATGGGACACTGGGGCCCCTGCCGCCAGCCCCTTTCCTCCCTTAATGTCCCTCCCTGTCCTCCACCCTGTGCTCATACCTGGAGATAAAGGCAGCCCGCTGGCCCTGCCTGGAGGGAGTGCGCCGTGGAGTGGCGGGGTCATCCTCGGAACAGCCCTGGGCCGTGTGGTATGTTCAGGCAAGAAGGATGAGCAAGAGGCGCACCTTGGCAGAGACTAAGAATGGGAGGGAGTTCGGAGGCTAGTCTGATAGTGTCATCTGATAGTGTCATCTCGGCTTGCGTCACAGATTGTATTGATGGCACAATGAATGGCCTTTGCTATGTGATTCACCCATTCTGGCCTGACTCCCGAGGCCCCAGGGTGGGGGAGACTGGCTGCAAGACTGCTCCCTGCATAGGGGGCGCTCTGGGCAAGCTTCTGGATGAGTTCCCTGACACATGGACTTCCAGGCAAGTCTCAGGGTGAACCCAGATCAGGTTTCAAGAAAAGACAGGCAATATCCAGTTCCAGGGCCTGGGGACATAGTGGGGGACAAAGTGGTCACAGCCCTTCCTCTTTGGGGGAGTGCAGACTCTAAATAAATAGTCACAAGATAAACACGCAGCCATAAATGTAGATTATGCTCTAAGAAGAAACAATAAGAAGAGGGAGACTGCCCTAGCTAGTCAGGAAGACGTCTTTCAAGAGGAAACACATGGTTTGAATAAATGAAGGATGACAATGAGTTAATCAAGCACAGGATGAAGAAATGGAGGCCAAGGGAGACTCAGGGACTGGTCCCCTTGGACTCAAGACTCCCTGACAAGAGACTCACTCCTGGGAATTCAGGCTCATGGATTAAGAGAAGCCCACACTGAGTTGTTCTCTAGTAAAGATTCCTAGAAATAGAACTGCTGGATCAGGAAGCATTTGTGTTTTAACTATGAAGCTGCCAAATTACTCTAAAAATGGAGTAGCAACCTACATGTACTCCCTGGAACAGTGTCAAGAATGCCCCATGACCCTCTCTTACCAGCCACCCACACCCTACCCCCATCACCTGTACAAGGTTACCAACCATTTTCATTTTTACCTACCCATGGGGCTATTATTAAATGCTAAAAAGAAATGAGCTACCAAGCCATGAGAAGACATGGAGGAAACTTAAGGAAGCCAATCTGAAGATGCTCCACACTGTATGCTTCCAACTATATGGCTTTCTGGAAAAGGAAAATTATAAAGGCAGTAAAAAGGTTGGTGGTTGCCAGGTGGTTGGGGTTGGGGGAGGGATGTATAGGTGGAGCACAGAGAATTTTTAGGGTAGTGAAAATACCCTGCTTGATATTACAATGATGGGTGTATGTCATTCTACATTTGTCTAAACCCATTGAAGGTTCAACACCAGAAGTGGACTCTAAGATAAGCTACGGACTTGGCGTGAGTATGATGTATTGCTGTCGGTTCATCCTTGGTAATAAATGTACCACTCTGATGAGTGATGATAATGGGGATGGGGAGGCTACACATGAGGGAGGGGAAGAAACCTCTCTCTCAATTTCAGTGTAATCCTAAAACTTCTCTCAAAAAAATTAAGTCTTTGAAAAAAAATTACAGCAAAAGCCTTGGTAGTCTTAGGAGGGCTTGGCAGGGCTGCTGAACTGGGAGGGGTTGGCCAACCACACACAGACGGAAGCAACTGCCACAGGCTGGACTTGGAATTTTCCTGGGTGGCAAGTCCTTCAGCCGATTGAGTATTGTCTCCTTTGGTAAGACTGGTTGGCCACGCAATTCTACTGCTGTTCTGATCCTAGTCTTCAAATCCTCTACACATTCATTCATTCAAGCACCAACAAGTGCTAAGGGCAAAAGTAGGAAAGGATCCTGAGAATTAGGGATGTATATGTGTAAGGGTGTGAGTTGCAGTTCTTAATGGGGCCATCAGGGTAGGTCTCACTGAGAAAAGTGACATTTAAACAAAGTCACAAAGGAGGTGAGGCAGTTCATTAAGGAGTAACTAGGTAGCGGGTCCTAGAGGAGGAAATAGCTAATACAAAACTCCAAAGGAAGGAATGTATCCTGCCTATTGGAAGAACAGCAAGGGGCAGTGGGTCTGGTGTGGTGGGCCAAAGGAAGGCTGCTAGGAGATGAGAGGGTGAGGGGTCAGGTCATGGGCCTCGATGAGGACTTCGGCTTTTACTTGGAGTGAGATGGAGGGTGTGCAAGGCCTCTCTTGCTCTATGGCCCACCCTCCTTAGTCAGATGCCTTTAATAAGGTATTAAAATAATAACTGAACAAGTACCCAGTTAAATATCTCATTATCATTTTAATGCCTATGTTAATACACTGAATTTGTTTGGCAAGTTTTTTTTTAATTGAAGTATCATTGATACACAATCTTATGTTGGTTTCAAATATACATATACAACACAATGGTTCCACAGTTACCCATATTATTAAATCCTCAACCCCTCTAATGCAGTTACTATCTATCAATGTTGAAAGATGTTACAGAATCACTGACTATATTCTCATGCTGTACCACTGTCCCTGTGACCAACTTATATTGTGATTGCAAATTGTCATGCCCCTTGATCCTCTTCACCCTCCCCCCCAACCCCAACCCCTTCTCCTTGATAATCACTAGTCACTTCTCAGTGTTTATGAGTCTACTTCACTTTGCAAGTTTTTGAACTGCATTTAAATTGAATTTCACTGGCCTTCTGCAACTTAGATTTTCCCTTCAACTTTATATTCCCATGATTTGTCATGTTTCTTGCAGCTTTAGGTTATTTATTTCCACAACTGAATAGTGCCTTATTGAAAATTATACCACAACTTTATCCATTCTTTTCTTGATGGACACTTGGCTTGTTTTCAGTTACTTATTGTTACAATACTACTAGGAACAATCATGTATGTGTCTCCTGGCACAAATGCTATAGGATATTCACCTGGGAGAGAAATTGCTGGATGGTGAGCATCTTCATTCAACATTATTTCAAAATAGTTATATCAGTTTACACCTACAGAGTACAGGTTGCTCTACCACCTCACCAACAAAAGGCATTCTCAGATTTTTTAAATTTCTGGCTATTGGGTGGTTGACCAATGATACCTCATTGTGATTTAATTTTGTGTTTCACTGATTAATAATGAGGTTAAACATCTTTTTTATTTTTGTTGGCAATCTGTTATTTTCTATTCGATTAAATTCCTATTTGGGTCTTTTGTCTCTGTTGTCATTTTCTAACTGTTAGTAGTACTTTATATATTCTCAATACTATTCCTTTTTCAGTTAAATGTATTGCAAATATCTTCTCCCAGTTTGTGCCTTGTCTTTTTGCAACAGAGTGAAAAAGCTTGGCATCTCTGCCCTTAAATTTTATCTGTCTCCTTTGATGCCTTAATCTTTGGGTCAAAAAGCTCTTTCTTAGTTCTGTGGCCCTGCACGTAGGCTTGTTAATCAACAAAAGGAACTTTGTTCATGACTTAAGACAGATGCAAACAGCTCTTTACCTAAAACACACTTCCCCCAAGAAGATAAGAAGTATGTACAAAAATGTCAACTGGATTTTCAAGGACTTATAGAAACATCATGTCAGTGAAATGACTGGAATCAACTAACCAAGGATAAGGAGTTTCACAACTTTATGTCTGCAGTTGACCATCACCTTCTTTCCTCAGTCGTCTCCTGCTCCTCCCGCCTTCCTTAGCATAAAGGAAGTCTGAAATCAACCCTGAGTTAAGACAGTCTTTTAGGACATTAGTCCACCATCTTGGTCTGCCGGCTTTCTGAATAAAGTCACTTTCCTTGCCTCAACACCTTGTCTCTCAACTTACTGACATGTTTGTTGTGAGGCAAATGGCATGAACTTGAACTTGGTAACATTTTTACTCTCTTTATGGTAACTCTTGAATAACACAAGTTCTTAATTTAAAGTAGTTAAATTTACCAATCCTTTCCTATATGATCTTTGCAATTTCTATCTAGTTTAAGAGCTCCTTCACTGTCCTGAAGTCATAAAGATATTCAACATTGTCTTCTGAAAATTTTATAATTATGCATCGCACTAGAAGTGAAACAAGCGAGGAAGGGCTAGATTTGTAATAAAAAATCTAGATTTTTTTGCTTTATATTTGCTTCATAATTTTCTGTCAGTTTTGTGTTTTTTCCTGGATTTTGTACTGCCTTTCAGTTTTTCCCATCGAGAGAAGAAATAGGTACCTTCTTTACCCTGTCATTAAAATTTTGAGCTTAACCATTTGTCTATAGCTTGAAATCTATCCCATTGTTCTTCCTGAGGACACTTCTTTCTAATCTGGTGAGATGGCTGCTAGGACAGTTGCACAGAAGTCGTTCTAACAGTCCTGGTTAAACTCACCACTTCTTGTCTTGCATATCTTTATCTTGGGTATCACTTTTTTAGGTTTGGAGAACATACTCAGTTTACTTAGAAAGAGTGCATGAAACATCCATTTTGAGTTCCACAAGTCTAAATGCCTTTTTTTTTTTTTTAACCTCCCAATTTGGAATTTGGGGATAGAATTCTAAATTCAAAATAATGTTTCCTAATGTGAGACAAGGTTGATTGTTATATAACCCTAAAATAATTGGTTTCTTCCATTTCTTATATACTCTGCTAGTCTGGGAGATGTGTCAAAAGACAGCATTAAATATTTCATGATTTTTTTTAATACCTACAATTTTTTATTTTTGTTAAGTTTCTTGGTTGATGCAAAATCGTAGTTGTAGTGTCAAGAAACTGGCATTAGAAAGCTTCCAGGTGGAGGAAAAGACAGCAGAGTAAGAAGACAAGGTGCAAATGTCCTCCCAAAAACATAAAAAAAGAAGAAATACAGCAAGTACAACTAAACCTGAAAATGAGGTGGAGACTACAGAACAGACCAACTACACCTGGGGAAGAAGAGAAGACCATACAGAAAAGGGTAAAGTGGCAGAGCTGCAATTGAATGGGACCCAAGCCCTCCCTCACCCCAGCCCATGGAAGGAAGAAAGAGGAACAGAGTGGAGAGCCCAGGAAAGGAGCCCAGGAACACTGCACACCTGGCCCTGGAGATCTGCTCTGGGGGCATGAGTCCACATTACAGTGGGTTCTGGTGGTTACTGGGGCTGGATACCAGGGACAGCTGGAACACTCTGGAAGGCTGAGACTGTAGCCCCTTGTGGAGGACAGGCATGCTCCACTCATCCTGAGACTCACAGCAGAGGTGGCAGTTAAAAGATTTGCCAGCAGTGGGATGGGTGCAAGACAGGTGAGGGTTGGATGGAGCTCTCCCCCCAGGAAAAGGGGTAGGTGGATGATACCTCCCCATCCCTCCCTTAGGAGCCTCAAATGCTCCATCCCCTTTGCTGGCAACTCAGCCCCAAGCCATCTCCCTGTGCACACTGCCAGTGAGTCAACACACTGGGCCCAGCAGCAGTGTCAGACTTTGTTGCCTGGCAGGCAGAGGGAGACTCCAGCTTTTTTGGCTCTATTTCAGCCCAATAGGAGAGGTGCCTGCAGCAGCCAGCCCTGAGAGCTCCTTCCTCCTGCAAGTGTCCAAGCCTGATGCTATGCATCCTGCCCTGCCCCAGAGCCACACAAAGGTCTGGCATATCCCATTAACCCCTGCAGCCCTGCCATCACTACAGGGTAGGCAGAGGGTGGTCCCACCCACAGCGATCCCACAGAGGCTTCTGCTCCAATCACAAAGGTGGCTCAGGCAAACTGCAGACTCAGACCACTACTGATAGACAGAAAGGTGGCCCTACTCACTGCACACCGACAAAAGCTGGGGCTCCAGCAAAACAGAACCAGGCACTGAAGAGTAGAGTCTTGGGCTTCTGGGAACCATAGGACACCTCCTTAATAAAGCTATTACTCTATAGGCCAGGAAGCATAGTAGATTCAGATAATACAAAGGAAGAAACACAGAAACCCTGACAAAATGAGAGGCAGAGGAATATGTTCCAAACAAAATTATAGGACAAGACACCAGAAAGAGGGCTAAATGAAACAGCACCAAACTTCTTGGTAAAGGTGCCAAAGTAAAAGTCATAAACATGCCCACTGATTTACAGAAAAAGATTCAAGTTCTGAGGGAAGACTTAAACAAAGAGACAGAAGACCTGAAAAAGAGCCACTTGGAGCTGAAGAATACCGTAACTGAAATGAAACATACAATGGAGGGGTTGAATAGTAGATTCCTGCAAGTAGAAAAGACAGTCAATGAAATGGAAATTACAGAACAGGAACAAATGAAACTGAGGAACAGAGGGAAAAAAAGATCTTTAGGAATGAAAGAATGATAAGAGAGCAGTGTGACCAGTCCAAACACAATAATATTCGAATAATAGGGATAGCAGAAGGAGAAGAGAGAGACAAAGGGATAGAAAGTCTCTTTTAATAATTGTTGAAAACTGTCCTGGTCTGGGGAAGGAAATAACATGCAGGTCATGGAAGTACAGAAAGCCCCTAACAAAAGGAACCCCAGGAAGACAACAACAAGACATATAATTTAAATGGCAAAGATTAAGGATAAGGAGAGAGTATTGAAAGCAGCCAGAGAGAGAAAAAAGATTACTTATTAAGAGACCCCATCAGGCTGTCATCAGACTTCTTAGCAGACACTTTACAGGACAGAAGGGAATGGCATGAAATATTTAATGCACTGAATCAGAAGGACCTGCAACTAAGAATCTTCTCTCTACCTGGCACAATTATCATTTAAATTTGAAGCAGGAATTAAACAATTTCCAGGTAAACAGAACTTGAAGGAATTCACCACCACTAAGCCAGCCTTACAGGATATGTTAAAGAGACTGCTGCATATGGAAATGTTCCTAAGACTAAATAGCTTCCACCATTGAAAATAAATTCACAGTAAAGGTAGCAGACCAATTAAGTACCAAGGAAGTATGAAATTAAAACAAAATCAGCAAAGTCAATTATAACACAAAATCAGTCAAGGGATACACAAGAAGTGTAGATTATGATATCTAATACATAAAGTGTGGAGAAGGAAGAAGAAGGAGAAAGGTACCTTTAGATGGTGTTTGAAATAGAGTATTCAGCAACTCAATACACTTATATAGTAAGGAAGCTATCCTTGTATCTTTGGTAACCACAGAGCTAAAGCCTACAATAATACACAAAAAAATTACAAAAGAGAAACTTAATCCCAAAACTAAAGAAAACCATCATATAACAAGAGAGGAATGTAAGAGAGGAAGAAAGGAACAGAGAAGAGCTATAAAAACAACCGGAAAACAATAAAATGGGAATAAGTACATATGTACTAATAATTACCATGAATGTAAATGGACTGAATTCACCAATCAAAAGACATAGAATGGCAGAATGCATAAAGAAACAAGACCCATCTATATGCTGCCTACAAGAGATTCACTTCAAACAAAGATGTACTCAGACTAAAAGTGAAGGGATGCAAAAGATATTTCATGCTAATAATAGGGAGAAAAAATACTAGAGTTGCAGTACTTATATCACACAAAACAGACTCCAAAACAAAGAAAGTAACAAGAGACAAAGAAGGACATTACATAATGATAAAGGGGTAAGTCTGACAAGAGGATATAACCATTTTAAATATATATGCACCCAATATAGGAGCACCTAAATATATAAAACAAATACTAACAGAATTAAAGGGGGAAATAGACTAGAACACATTCACTTTAAGAGACTTCAACACACCACTCACACCAAAAGACAGATGAATCAGACAGAAAATAAGGAGACAGAGGCATTGACTAATACATTAGATCAGATGGACTTAACAGACATCTACAGAACATTCTACCCAAAAGCAGCAGGATACACATTCTTCTCAGTGTACATGGAATGTTTCCCAGAATAGATCACCTACTAGGCCACAAAGAAAGCCTCAGTAAATTTAAAAAGATTGAAGTTATATCAAGCAGCTCCCAGACCACAGTGGTATGAAATGAAATAAATTACCCAAAGTAAACAAAAAAGCATACAAACACATGGAGGCTAAACAGCATGCTTCTAAATAATCAATGGCTCAATGAACAAATTAAACTGAAATCAAGCAATACATGGAGACAAATGAAAACAAGAATTCAACAGCCCAAAATCTGTGGAACACTGAGAAGGCAGTTCTAAGAGGGAAATACATAGTAATACAGGCCTACCACAAGAAACAAGAACATTCCCAAATAAACAGTCTAAACTCACAATTTAAAAAACTAAGAAAAAAAGAACAAATGAATCGCAAAGTTTTAGAAGGAGGGACATAACAAAGATCAGAGCAGAAAAAAATAAAATAGAGAAGAATGAAACAATAGAAAAAAATCAATGAAAACAGGAGCTGTTTTTTTTTTTGAGAAAATAAACAAAACAACCTCCAGCCAGACTTAGCAAGAAAAAAGAGAAAGTATGCACACAAAATCAGAAATAAAGAAGAACAATCACAGCAGACACCACAGAAATACAATAAATTATTAGATAACACTATGAAAAATTATATGCCAATAAGTTGGAAAACCTAGAAGAAATGGATAACTTCCTTGAAAAATACAACCTTCCAAAACTGACCCAGGAAGAAACAGAAAATCTGAACAGACCAATTACCAACAATGAAATTGAACTGGTAATCAAAATTCCCATCAAACAAAAGTCCAGGACTGATTCACAGATGAATTCTACCAACACATTTAAAGAAGAGCTAATACCCTCCTTCTTAAAGTAGTCCAAAAAGTAGAAGAGGAGGGAATACTTCCAAACTCATTCTATGAGGCCAGCATCACTATTCTAATACCAAAACCAGACAAAGACACCACAAAGAAAGAAAATTATAGACCAATATCCCTGATGAACAGATGCAAAATTCCTCAACAAAATATTAGCAAACCTAATTCAAAAATACATCAAAAAGATCATCCATCATGACCAAGTGGGATTTATGCCAGGGATGCAAGGATGGTACAATATTCACAAATCAATCAACATCATACATCACATTAACAAAAAGAAGGATAAAACCCATGTGATCATCTCAATAGATGCTGAAAAAGCATGTGACAAAATTCAACATCCATTCATGATAAAAATTTTTAATAAAATGGGTATAGAGGATACATACTTCAGCATAGTAAAGGCCATATGCGACAAAAGCATAGCCAACATCATAATAGCAAAAACTGAAAGCTTTTCCTGTAAGATCAGGAACAAGACAAGGATGTCCACTCTCACCACTTTTTTCCAACATAGTACTGGAGGACTTAGCCACTAGCAATCAGACAACACAAAGACATGAAAGGTATCCAAATTGGTAAGGAAGAAGTTAAACTGTCACTATTTGCAGATGACATGATATTACACATAGAAAATCCTAAAGACGCAAACAAAAAACTATTAGAGCTAATAATTGGATTCAACAAAGTTACAGGATACAAAATTAATACACAGAAATCTGTCACATTCCTATACAGTAACAATGAACTAGCAGAAAAAGAAATCAGGAAAACAATTACATTTATAATTGCATCAAAAAGAATAAAATACCTAGGAATAAACCCAACCAAGAAAGAGAAAGACCTATATTCTGAAAACTATAAGACACTCATGAAAGACATTAAAGAAGACATAAGTAGTGGAAATATTCCTGCACACAGATAGGAAGAATTAATATTGTCAGAATGACCATCCTACCCAAAGCAATTTACAGATTACTACAGCATTTTTCAACAGACTACAACAAATAGTTCTAAAATTCATATGGAACCACAAAAGACCTTGAATAGACAAAAGAATCCTGAGAAAGAACAGAGCTGGGGAGATTACACTCCTTGACTTCAAGTTCTACTACAAAGCTATAGTAATCAAAATAGTTTGGTACTTGTCCTGGCACAAGAACCGATCCATAGATCAATGGAACAGAATAGAGAGCCCAGATATAAACCCACACATATATGGTCTATTAATGTACAGTAAAGGAGCCATGAATATACAATGGGAAAAAGACAGCCTCTTCAACAACTGGTGCTGGCAAAACTGGACAGCACCATGTAAGAGAATTAAACTGGATTATTGTCTAACCCCATATACAAAAGTAAACTCAAAATGGATCAAAGACCTGAATGTAAGTCATGAAACCATAAAACTCTTAGAAGAAAACATAGGCAAAAATCTCTTGAATATAAACATGAGCAATGTTTTCCTGAACACATCTCTTCGGGCAAGGGAAACAAAAGCAAAAATGAACAAATGGGACTACTTCAATCTAAAAAGCTTCTGTACAGCAAAGGACACCATCAGCATAACAAAAAGGGATCCTACAGTATGTTAGAATATATTCATAAATGATTTATTCAATAAGGGTTTAACACCCGAAATATATAAAGAAATCATATGACTCAACACGCGCCCCGTAAAAAAAACAAACCAGCAACAACCCACAAATAACCCAACTGAAAAATGGACAGGGGACCTGAACAGACATTTTTCCAAAGAAGAAATACAAATGGTCAGCAGGCACATGAAAAGATGCTCCGCATCACTAATCATAAGTTAAATGCAAATCAAAACCACAATGCGATATCTTCTCACCCCGGTTGGAATGGCCACTATCCAAGAGACAAGAAATAACAAATGTTTTCAAGGATGTGGAAAAATGAGGATCTTCCTACAATGTTGGTGTGAATGTCAGTTGGTGTGCCACTGGGGAAAGCAGTATGGAGGTTCCCAAAATACTAAAAATAGAAATACCATTCAATCCAGTAATTCCACTTCTATGAATTTACCCAAAGAAAACAAAATCCCTGTTTCAAAAAGACATATGCACCCCTATGTTTATCATAGCTCTATTTGCAATAGCCAAGACATGGGAAAAAGCAACCTAAGTGTCCATCAACAGATGAGTAGATAAAGAAGAGGTGGTACATACACACAGTGGAATATTATTCAGCAATAAAAAGAAAAGAAATCCTTCCATTTGCAACAACACAGATGGATCTGGAGGGTATTATTCTCAGTGAAATAAGCCAGGCAGAGGACAAATACCATGTGATTTCACTTATTTCTGGAATGTGAATACAAACAAAACTTAAGGAACAAAACAGCAGTAGACCTACAGACACTGAGAAGTGACTAGTGGTTACCAAGGGGGAGGGGTTGGGACAGGTCGGGGCAGAGGGTGAGGGGGATAAAGGGGCACAATAATTTACAATCACAATATAAGTTGGTCATGGGGAGGGTAGTGCAGCATGGAGAACATAGTTGGTGATTCTGTAATATCTTTCTAAGTTGATAGATAGTAACCACACTAGAGGGGGTGAGGATCTAATAATATGGGTACATTTTGAACCACTGTGTTGTACATCTGAAACCAATATAAAATTGTAATTCAACCATAATTCAATAAAAAAGTGTATTAGGAAAATAAAGCTTCCCAAACAAAGGCTTCAATAGGGAATTCTAATAAACAATCTTGCTGTTCTTAAATTAGTAATATGTAAAGTGTTATGAATTTTGCACACAATGTTTTGTAATTTAAAGTTAGTTAAGCTTTTCAAAAAGATCCTTTTCCCTCCAAATACTGAGGCTGTATTGTCTTCCAGCCTCCTGAACTTGGCTGCTGAGCCATCTGATTCTCATTGTCAGATGGGTTTTACATCTGCATCTCTGGTCTGGTGAGATGCATGCAATTCCCCCACTTCCTTATAGGTGGCACTGCAGAGAAGGACAGAGCAGAGCGCCTTCTACCGGAGAAGGGGAGACAGCGCATGGGTGCGGGGTCTCGGCGAGCCGTACAGAACGTCAGGGGCGTGACAACTCTCACCCAGCCCCTGCCATCCGCGGCGCCCTGTGATTGGAGGGAGGAACTATCACTTGGCAGCGTCGTTGGGTTGTAGAGGAAGAGGGCCCCAGCGAAGTGACGCTGAGGCGGTGGAGCCGTGGAGAGTAGAGCGGGCTGGGAGTGAGAGCAACAGTCCGAACACCCCGCCCGTCTCTCTGCAGTGAATGGCGGCGGGATGGAGCACGAGGGGAGCGGCGGCAGCGGAGGGTCGGCCGGGCTCCTGCAGCAGATCCTCAGCCTGAAGCTTGTGCCGCGTGTGGGCAACGAGACCCTGTGCCCCAACTCCACTTCTCTCTGCTCCTTCCCAGGTACCGGCCCCGCCCCACGCTGCGCCTGCGCACTGCGTGCCCCCGCCCCCTCCGCCGAGACGCGGGCGCCCCTTTCTCCTGCCGCTTCGCCTGTTGGGGGCTGTGTTCCTTCCGGAAGGAGGATTCCTCTCCCTCTGCGGGGAGCTGGGGATGTAACTCCTTTCACCGTCGCTCTCTCCCCGGCGCGCCGGCGCGCCAGTCCGACCCTGCGCTGGGGGTGAGGTCGGAGGGGGCGGCCGCAGAGGGAGCCGCCGGCGAAGGGAGCTGGCCTCCCCCGCGAACTCATCTTGCTCTTTGGAGTTTCCAGACGCCCCGGGTTCGGACTTGAGCGCGACAGAGCCCTGGAGGCGGTCGTCCCATGCTCGTTTGGGGCGCTGGATGCTCCTGGCCCCTGTAGTGCGCACCGGCCGCCGGGCTTCCGCAGCCCGGACGGATCGATAGCCCAGGCCAGGCCGAGGAGCAGCCAGAACCCGCACCCCCTCGGTTCTGGTCTGGCCCAACCCCTCTGCTCCAGGAAGTCGTCTGCTGATCGCTCGCTCCTCCGTCCAAATCCACCCACTCCACCAGTTTCTCTTTCTAGGAATCACTTTTCGATACCTATTGCCGAGTCTCGCACTCAGGAGCTCGAGGCATTTGATCCAGCTTCTTTTGAACTCTTCTTGCCCCATGGCAGCCTGCTGGGCTGATAGGAGGGCTTCTCAAAATCATAGTACAAGATAGAAAGCTGCCCGTGCTCAGAAGGTCTCGAGCTCCTAGAGTCGGCTAACAGTGAATTTCATTCATTAACCTGAATCTGGAATGGTTTCTATTTTGGCCCCACAGAACAGGTTACCTGCATTTATGCCCAGTCAGTATGGCAGAATCATTGCTCTGAAATATTCATTGGTTTGTCACTGTCAGGAAGCTTTAGATTGACTTTTTTATAACCTGCATTTGCAATTTAGCCATTTAGATTTCTGCCTGACCCTCCTTCGTTCTAAGTTCAAGTTTCTTTTGTTGCTGTCATCATTTTTAACGTCTGAATGCCAGGAAAGGCAGATCTTTCCTTTGTGTCAGGTAGGACATTGACTCTCTGAAGATATGAATGTCATTAAAATCAATGTCAGAGTGTATTTTGTAATAGTTAAACCCACTAATGTTTTGGTTGTGCTGTGGCTGGAATTGATGTCGGACCACACTTGAACCAGTTATTTTTTCATTCACTCAGCAAATATTGATTGTTGTATGCCTATTGTTTTCTCGGCACCGAACAAAACAAAGGAATTTTCATTTTAATGGGGAGAGAAAGAAAATACACAAAATTAAGAAATATGGAAAGAAACAGCTGGTTCCAAGTGTAAGACAAGGTAGGGGTAGAATAATAGGTGGGTTTTGTGTGTCAAGGGTGGAATGCTATTTTACTTAAGGTGATGAGGAAGCCCTTTATCATGATGCCCTTGGAGCTAAACTGAAGGAAGAAGGAACAAGCCATGCAGCTGTTGGGAGAAAAGCGTTCTGGATGAGAGGGCAGCAGGTTCATTGCTTAAGAGACATAGAGGAGGCCAGCGAGGCAGGTGAAAGAGTGTGGCGAGGAGGGGAGGTCAAATCCCGAGGGTCGTATGGGAGGGGTTTGACTTACTTATTTTTAAAGTGTGCAGTTCAGTGACTTTTAGTACATTGGCTTAATGTGCAGCCATCAACATGAGCATCTTTAGAATATTTTCATCACGTCAACAAGAAACCTTGTACCCATTATCACTGACCATCTGGCTTTGTGTGGAGAACAGGTGGCAGGCCAGATCAGGGCGGATGAGAACTAGCCAGGCTAGGACCAAGAGACCACTGGGGTGGGGCAGACCAGGGTGGTGTACTCAGAAACCAGGTTGCACAGCACGGCAGTCAGGCGGTGGCGTCAGCAGAGAGGTGCAGCCCGCAGGCGGTGGTCTCGAGGGAAAGTCGTCCTTGCTAGGGAGGAGTGGATGGGTATCTAGGAAAAGCTCACCATTTTCCTTTACGCTCACACTACTGCCACCCTTAGAACACTTCTAACGCCAGATGGTGGATTTTCCATGCATCAAGCAATTCGGTGATGCTGGTTGGGTGTCTTAGAATTGTCCCGTTCTCATACTGTCTGCCTGGCGTTCGCTAAGGGCTCAGTTCCACCAGACTCCACAAGGCTGCTCTGTTTCACTTAAGAGGCCAATCACAAGTCCAGGTAGATATGTGCTTCGGACAAACTGGCTATGAATCAGAGGTTCCCTTCACCCTGGGTTCGATTCATTTGCTGGGACTGCTCACAGAACTCAGGAAAACAGTTTACTTAATAAATCACTGGTTTATTACAAGGAGGTTAAAGGATACAAATGACAAGATACATCGGGTGAGGTCCAGAGGGTCTCTGAGCCCGGGAGCTTCTGTCCCTGAGGAGTTGGGCTGGGCCCCCCTCCCAGCACAGATGTGTTTTCCAACCCGGAAACTCTTTGAACCCTGGCCTTTGGGGATGTCTATGGAGGTTTCATCACATAGGCGTGATTGATTATTAAATCCATTTGCAGCCCCTCTCCTCCCTCGAGAACTGGGAGTGGGCTTAAAGTTTCAAGCTTATAATCATGGCTTTCTGGTGACCAGCCCCTACCCAGGGGCCCACCAAGAGCCACCTCACGAGAATAAAAGATGCTCCTGGAAATTCAAGGGATTTAGGGGCTCTGTGTCAGGAACCAGGGGCAGAGACCAAATATTCAAGCAGAAGATCTTCCTAGCACCACTCTTTGCACGGGTTTTAGGAGCTCTGTGTCAGGAACTGGGGACAGAGACTAACATGCATGTATTTCTTGGTATTTCACAAGGGAACTGATGGATTCCCTGGCAGGTAGGTGGAGTCTGGTAAAGAAGGGTCTCCCAGTGGGCAGTGTGGAGAGATGCAGGCTGGCGGCGATTAGTATCAAGGCAGAACGTGGTAGGACCATTGTTCCCAGGAGTCTGATGTGGTCTGCTTAGCACCCTGGCTTCAGAGGCACTGGTTGTGTTCACACAGTTGTTTGACCTGGAACGTAAGGCAGAGGGGGGCTAGCTGAGAGGATGGCTGAGCGCTGAGCCTCTCGCTGCTCACTTAGCCTAGGCTTCTTCTACTCCTGCTGATTGGGGCTTGGTTAGTCTTAAAACCTTACTTGGAAGTTTGGTGACTCAGCTGTGGAGGTTAGCCGGCCAGGGAGCCAGCCATTACAAACCCTCTTGTTAATACAGAACTGCCTAGAAGATTCTGCAGTATGTGTGGTTTTTAACTGAAATGTCTGTTTGGAAAATATTCTTAAATATAATAAGCTCCTTGTGGGTAGGATACCTGTCTTCTGTTTTGTTTTTCACTTAAGGGCCTGGCATATGGAATGGGCTCAGTAAATATTTGATTGTTGAATGAATACACTCTTAGTGCTTGTATTGGCTTGCTATTGCCATTGTAACAATTTACCACAAATTTAGTGGCCTAAAACAACACAGAATAATCATTTTACCATGGAGGTTGGAAGTCCAAAATGGGTCAGCAGTGCTTCATTCCTTCTGAAGGCTCTAGGAACAATTGGTTTTCTTGCCTTTTCCGGCTTCTAGAGGTCGCCTGCATTCCTTAGCCCCTGGCCCCTTCCTCCATCTGGAAAGCCAGTAACATTGCATCCTCACCTCTCTTTGACTCTGACCCTCCTGCCCCCTTTCACAAGGACCCTTGTGATTGCATTAGGCCCACAAGGAAAATCCAGGATAATCTCCCCTTCCAAAATCCTTAATCTAATCACACCTGCAAATTCCCGTTTGCCGCATATTCGCTAGCTCTGAGGATGAAGTATATGGACATCTTTGGGACCCATTCTGTCACCAGTGCTTAATCTAATTTCCCCTTATAATCTTTTAGTTCAGATGAATTGTCATTTATACTTCAGCACTGAGAAGTGAGGTGACTTTAGCCACCAAAATAAAGCTAAAGGAAGATAATGCACTTGATTTGAAACAGTGAACAAGGAAATACACTGTAAGATACATAGACAAGGATTTTTGACAGTGTGTTGAGCCAGGGAAATGGAAAGTACTATATGATGATCAATAAACAGCTATTAAGTAGATAGCAAATTAAGATGCAGTAGATTAAAGGGATATCACTTAATTTTTTATTTCTGAAAGTGTTTTATTGATCGGGGTTTGCCTCTGCTATTATATCTGAAAAGTGTCTTATAAACAATGTAGTACTCTAATATAATAAAGCCATTTTTTCTACTTAAAGTGACTTAAGTGATGCTATGTAAAATATGTGGGCACTGAGGCAGCTAATGGAGGTCGCTCAAGGATGTAGGAGGGTGCAGCGTGCTTCCCCTTCTCAGAAACTCAGGGAAGTGCTGACCTGCGCTGCCACACCTTGTGTGCAAATAGGCCTCGCAGCTTTTAGGAGAATTGAGATGTGGGTTGGTAGCCTAGCGGCCTCCTTGGGCAGGTGCTGTGCTCCAGGAGAAGTGGGGACAGGCCAGTGTTGGTGTTCACAGTCTTCCCGGGCTGCTTTAACAAAATACCAGAGACTGAGTGGTTTAAATAACAGAAATTTACTTTCACAGTTTCCGAGACTAGAAGTCCAAGATCAGGGTGCCAGCTTGGTTGTGTTGTGGTGAGGGCCCTCTGGGGCCACCTTCTTGCTATGTCCACACATGGTGGGAAGAGAAAGAGAGAATGAGAGACAGAGATCTCTCTTCCTCTGCTTATAAGGCCACAGTCCTATTGGATTAGAGCTTCAACGTAGGAATTTTGGTGGAACACAGTTTAGTCTATAGCACTTGGGTAGCACTCCTGAGTGTCTGGACCCACTTTTCTCGATGTGACCAACTTAGTGTACCTCTGACAGATAAAGGCCTCACCTCCCAGTTTACTGCCCAGATGGTTCTGTGGCAGCCAGCAAGCAGCCTGGCTCCAGCAGCGCCTGGAGTTGCTGCAAAAAGCAGGTGCTTATCTGAAATTTGGGGTGCTCCAGCTAAAGAGTGATGTCAGGTCAGTGGTGGGGCCCCAAGTCAGTGGTGGCAGATAGCCAGCAGGATGGCAGCTGCTCTGAGTTCCTGGAGACAGGTCTGCATCGCATTTGTCTGCCCCAGGCAGTGGCATCCCTGGTGCCTCGTAGAACTTTATCTGCACCCTGGGTGGCATCATGGAGGTCAGAATCCCTTGAGTGATCTGGGGGGTCGCTGGTAAGGACTGTGGGGTTGGAGGTGGGGTGCTTTGGAAGGGGGCTGCATGATGCTGTGCTGTCTGGGGAGGAGCTGGCGGTGGGTGGTGGGTGAGGGGACCTGCAGCCGGGAGGGCCAGGCTGCCCTCCCCGAGCCAGGGTGTGACCGCAGCTGCCCCGGCAGGAGGGATACGTGGGCCAGAGCTCAGGTGAGTCACATTTACTGGGGAGGAGCAGTACCTGGGCACCACCCAGTGCAGCTGCTGCCAAGAAAGGAGGGCAGTGCTGCAAGAACAGCTCCCGACCCGAGGCTGGGGGGAGGCTGAACGAGGAAAGGTTTGTTTCCCAAGAGGATGGGGCCTCAGACCCTGAGAATCCTGCCCGCAAGTTCTGATCCAGTCTGTTGATTGGAAGCTTGGTTTTTCTTCGGTGGAAAAGGGGCAGTAGTTCATTAGTAAATATACTTTTTTTATGTACTTAATTTTTAAGTTTGGGACATTACTATTTAATCACTTTGTACTCCGTATTACATGACTTAACTTGTTTTAGCAGACATCCTTCAAATGTCAAACAAAATATACCAGTTTCAACAGTATTGTAAGATTACTCTGGGATATATCTTGTCCAGTGGAAAAAAAAATCTCACAAATGGTTTGAAACTCTTTATAACAATCTAATAATTTTTTAGCAGAACAAAAGTTCCAGAACACCTGCAGTTATTTGTTATTTTTAGCAAGCTTTGAGCTCTAGATAGGGCATCGCTGATGCTTTCACACAGAGCCTCTCCCCCAGAACAGCAGCTAGCGCCCTCATTTAGGTGTGTGTAGAACGTGGTACTAATTGAAGCTTTATTTGACTAAAAATGAGCAAAGAATTAGCACAGTCATCAGTGACAACACAGAGGGTGGCTTGGGGGATTTGCCCCCACCTCTGATCTCCATTAGTCCCTTTAGTCACCCCTTTCCTCCCAACAAGAATAAGAAATTGACCTGGAGAAAAACCACACACACAACAGCATGCTTACAACTCCAAACAGCTTCCAGAAAGCCCCTGGTCCTCCGCCGTCCTGCTGTCCACTCTCCCCAGGCTGAGATGCTCCTCACTGGACTCTCAACTATTCATTCCAGGCTTCCTGAACAGTTTCATTTAAAAGGAAAGCTTTTTTTTTTAATCAAAATAAAAGTGAATTATCATCATGTAACCACAGTATTGCTCATGTAATTATATATTAATGATACCAAAAAAATAACGAATTATCATCAGTGCTCCCCCTGCCCCATCCCATTCCCCAGAAATACCAGTTACCTATTGCTTAATATCTGTGAAGAGGTGGCACAGAAGATGAGGACAAGACTCCCAGAATCAGGGCCAAACACGGCTGCCTAATGCCAGCAGTGTGGGCTCAGGCAAGTTCCTTTACCTCCCTCTGCCTCCATTTCCTCATCCAAGAGCCAGGGATATTAGTAATTTGTGCCTCATGGAGCTGTTCAGAGGATTAGATGAGTTAGTGTTCATAAAGCACTAGAACAACACCTGTGCATATTGTAAGTATTTATTAAATAAACATATGTCCAGACTTTTCTCCTAGTACAAAGGAGTAATACATGGACATATTTTTTTCATTTGTTTGTTTTATTTTACAAACACAAGATCTTATGCTACATACCGTTCAGCAACCTCTTTGACTTCAGTGTGGCTTGTGCATCTTATCCCATCCTTACATAAAGATCTCATATTTTCATGTGATTGTATAAAGTTCCATTATATGGATGCCCTGAAATATATTTCACAAGCCCTACATTGATAGACATGCAGTTGGGATCTAGCTTTTGCTAAGACAGTGCTGGGGGGACCTCTCGTTACCCTGTCCCTGCCCGCGTGTGTGTTGCCATAGGAGGTGATCCTGGAAGTAAATTCGCCGTGGCAGAGGGTGTGCACATTTGACCTTTTTGGATACACACTTCCAAATTACCCTCCAGAAAGATTTTCTGGTTTGTATTCCAGTGGGACCTGTGAAGTTATGTCCTGGCAGTCTTTAACTGCACTTGCCGGCTTTCGCTTTGGAGTCCTTCGTGTGCCCTTCAAAGCCCACCATGGCGTGGCGCCATCTGTCTCACAATCTTGTAAACCCTCTGCTTCCGTCAGGGCAGTGGTTTTTAATGAGGGCAGTTTTGCCCCCAGGGGATGTTTGGCCATGGCCGGAGGTATTTTGGGTTGTCACAGCTGGTGAGAGAGCGCTACTGGCACCTAGCGGGAGAGGCCAGGGGCGCTGCCCCACGTCCTGCAATGCGCAGGACTGCCCCCAGCACAAAAACTTAACTGGGCCACATGGCAATAGCGAGGTGGTCCAGAAACCCTGACTCTAGCTATTGAGTGACCTCTAAAACTGCATTTACTTACCTGCTTCAAGGATGGACAATGGATTTAATTAATGTGACACCTTCATCATATCCATGTGGAGAGCTAAAGAGCTATCTTGAGAATTCCAAAGCCTTGCCTGGGCCTGTTGGGGAAATGCTGTGCCAGCCATTTATCAAGTTGTAAAGTCTTGAGGGCAGGATAGTATCTCCCCCTTTTTTGTATTTTTCCAAAGTGTGTCATGTATAGGTTTTTATACATAGTGATCAATTATTTTAATGTTGCCTGAGTTACATTCATCCTAAGAGCAATTAGAGGTTCTCTCTAAGAACCTGCCCTTGCTTACTTGCCATTTGTCTTTAAACCAAAGGTTTATATTTTCTGGTATTTATGTCATATCTTACAGAGCTCTGATGTTCTAATGGTGATGGCTTGATATTTAATGCATTGTCTTGAAAATGATTGTTGAATGAATAAAAGTTGCACATTTTCTGTTTTAGAAGACTGAATAATCCAAACATCAGGGAAGATCAAAAGGCACTGATTGCATGATACCCTGTCAGTGGTACTATACTTGTACTTCTTATGTGAGGGAAATGATTTAGGACAATTTTCAAATCTATTTTTGAGGATAGGGGCTGGTCAACTTTTTCTGTAAAGGGCCAGATAGGTTTTGCAGGCAACGCATTCTGTGTCCGTGTTTTAGGTCTGCTCTTGTAGTTTCAAAGCAGCCACAGACAAGGCTGAAAGGAATGGCCATGGCTGTTCTAGTGATACTTTGTGTACAAAACCAGGTGGTGGCCTGCTGGCTGTAGTTTTCTGTTGCCTCTAAAACCATCAATTTTTGGATATATGACCGATGAACCTACATTGCGACTGAGTGGTTTTCAAAATGAAGTAACGACGTACAATGACTGCCCCTTTGTAAGGATTGCGCTAGGAAGGTCCGTGATTTGCACCTTTCTTTGCTTTCCCTTGTAGAGATGTGGTATGGCGTGTTCCTGTGGGCCCTGGTGTCCTCTCTCTTCTTTCATGTCCCTGCTGGATTACTGGCCCTCTTCACCCTCAGGCGTCACAAATACGGCAGGTTCATGTCTGTGAGCATCCTGCTGATGGGCATCGTGGGACCAGTTACCGCTGGCATCTTGACAAGTATGTTAGACATTGAAATACCCATCAAAATCTTTCATATGACTAGTTAGTTAATTTCGGGACCAGTTTTAGAAACACGTCTGAGTGAGATAAGGAAAAGAGCGGCTTTTAACCACTGGTCCTGGTTTTTAATGTTTTGTTTTTATCTCATCCCCAAGCCCCCATTATTTGGCGAACATCTTTGACTTTCTGAGTCATATTGTCTCTCACTGGCTTCAGGGAATCTGTGCTGAACCTTGTGAAATACATCTTGTGAGATGGGTCACTACTGAAAGAAAGATATTTATCATTTTGGAAGCTTGCTTGCTTGCTTTTTTTTAAGTAGAGTTGATGTGCAGAATTGTACTGGTTGCTCCTTTCTTGTCAGCCACCACTTGCTCAGTGGCACCGCCAGATGGGTGATGAATTACTTCCACTCTTTCAGCTGTGGTTACTTTAAGGAAGGAAGAATAATTCTACTGACAAGAATTCTTGTTTAGAAAAGTACCTGATTTGTCCTCTCGTTATTTTTTTTCCTCTTTTGACTTTCTGAATAAGAATCAGAGCACCATTCATATTATAGATTATTTCTACCTTTTGCTTTATGTCACAGGACTGAGAAGGATACGTTTCAATCACTTTTAAGCTCCTAATTAAATATAAATGTCATGTATAGTTTGTATAAATTAAAAATTATAAGAAAGCAAAAATAAAACCCCTCCATTATCACATCCGTAAGTGATAACCACAGTTGCATTCTGGTGTATGCTTTCAGACTTTTTTTTACGGTATACATGTGAACAATATATTCTTAGAAACATTGCATTCCTGCTAATTTGTAATTTCATTTTTTTCATTGTGAACTTAAACCTAGAGGTCTAAAAAGAAATCTCCCTGAGTCTCCTCTTTCATTTGAGTTTATTTGGGGACAGCGTGGCCTCATTTCTCTGTGTTCTGTAGATGATGAAACCTTCGTGATCAAGGGAGAAGGCCAATTTCCTCCTGTCTGCGTGGAGGAGTTTCCAAATGGCCTTGTACGGTCTTGTTACCTGTGTCACTTGTTGCCGCTCTTTAGAGACCCTCTGCTCCAGTTTTCTTACTGGCTGACTGACTCCTAGGATCTGTCTCAGACTTCTCATCAGTAAAATAGGGATAATACTGCCTGCCTCACATGCTGTGTGAATATTATGTGAAATAATGTGTTTTTAAAGTGCTTACCATGATACCTAACACATGGGGATTGTGCAGTAAATGCTATGTTCATTCCACAAATGAGTCTGTTTCCTTCCCATTTTGCTGCTCCTTCTTCCCTTTGTCATCATCCAGATCCCACTTTGGGGCCCCATTCAAGTTCCTTAAGCTTCCTTCTACCCAACCCATTTTTCGTGGAGCTAAATTACAAAACAGCCCAATAAGCAGGTACCTTTCAGGTGTTAGCAACTCATGTATGCATGGCCACTGGAAGTAGGCATTTCAAAGTCATAAATGTTCCAGGCGACCAATACAGATATTGATTAATATTGTTCTTTCTTCTTCTCAAAATATGTTAATATACTTAAACTGTGTAGACATTTGATTGAGACACTATATAATGTCTTTCATTATTCAAAATCTATTTCATGCTTGTACTTCCTGTCTTCTGTCCCCAGTGAGATTCTGAGCACTATAATAATAGGGATCACAGGTTATTAAAAAAAACAGAAGTAAATACATATTTGAATGAATTAACACACTGCAACCTGGGAGAATTTTGTTTGGAACATTTTTTGAGGGAGGGTCATATGCAAACTTTAGATCTATTCTTTTCAAACTAAGGAAATTTTGACTTTCTTAGTACAATGCTGAGTCCCTGTAGCTATTGAGATGGGTGTCTAGACAGATGGAGATGTTTGTGTTTTTGTTTGCTGTGTCTAGGACATTGTGGTGACTAACACGATAGAAACCGTTAATGATACGGGGAACAGAAACGAATCCCTGAATAGCTCTCCTCTCGTGCCCTTTGAATTAATAACACTTCCTAGGCTTAGAGTCCCCCAGTCCTCTTTTCCTTTGCCACCCTTTACTCCCTCCTCCGCCCATTTCTTGAAGGGAAGTCTGATTATAATAGTAGGTGGAGCAGGGATTCCCTGTGGCTTCTCCTGAAATATTTCTTGCTCAGTCTCACACAAGTTTCTTTGTCATTTATTGCCAAGATTTTATTAGGTACCTACTTGTTAGATGCTAAGCATGGAAAATAAGAGATGTTTTTGAGTTTGCAATCAGGTCACATGGAAATTGCCATCTTTGTGATTTTGATTATGACTTCCAGATGATTTTATTCAATAAACCTAGAAGACTCAGTTTTAAGGAATCACTTTTCAATCAAAAAGTACATGTCAGTGATTTATAAACCAAATAATGAATACTTAAAACCTAGAGTGGGCAGCAAAAAGAATAGGGAAAATGAAAATTTCTATAATATTAAAATTTTTAATGTAAAAAATCTGGAACATTTTACTTAGAGTAGAATGTTTGGTACTGTATTTTCCTGATTATATTAACCTTGATTTTTTTTTTTTAACACTCCTGAATTTTTGAATAGGTGCGGCAATTGCTGGAGTGTACCGAGCAGCGGGAAAGGAAATGATACCATTTGAAGCCCTCACCTTGGGCACCGGACAGACATTTTGTGTAGTGGTGGTCTCCTTTTTACGGGTCTTGGCTACTCTATAGCATATACCCCTGTGCTATTATGTCGAACCTAAGTTATATAGAATCCTCAAAAAGAAGACATGGAGTGTAGTGTTTTCCTCCTCAAATGAAAGCAACTTGAATGAAAATGCATGTGAAGAATAGTATCTCAGCCCTCTCTTCAATTTGAAGCTCCAAGAATTGAAGGTCTTTTTGGACTTCTGTTGTTCTCAACCAAAAAAAATCGTATTTCTTATCTTTTTTTTTTTTTTTGGTAGCTATTGAATTTAAGCAATTTAAAGGTGCCCTTTTCCCAAGTCATGTCAATAGTTCCTCTGGGTTGGCATCTCTGCACTGAAATTTGTAATATTCTGTGACAAAATGCAGTGTTGCACATTTCACAGCAACTATGGGAAATACTGGTTTATTTCTGAGCAGAATATACTAAAATCTTATTTAAGCTAATCTCAATGAGAATTTGGTGGACTCTTCTTTCGCTACATCCTCATGACAGTAAGTGCCAACTAGGTTTTAACTGAGTTTATAGCTTTGAGAACAAATTTGGTGAAATAGAAGAGGAAAAAAATCTGTAACAAGTAGTGGCATCAATTCCACTGTTTAAAGGAGATGATGTGATGTGGATAACTAGCTCTGATTACTTAATATATTTTAAGAGATGTGAACTTGTTGTTTTGTACATTTTATCAAAATAAGCTAGCTAATTGAGGCTTTTTTTCCAGAATTCCTGTACTACCTTTTCCTGTCACTCTTATTCTATTAATTGTATTTAGTTTAATTGGCAACACACCCTGTTAAATAGTTTGAGCTGAAAATTTTAAGCCAGATTGGTTAGGATGCTCTTTGGACATTGAGGGCACCACAAAAAAGAGAGGTTAAACGTTCTGTTAGAGTTTTTCTTAGTGACTGGTTTTTAAATGACTCCTGAGAAATTGTAGAAGTGCAGCTTAAACTAGAGTTAGCAAATACTGATTTCTTCGTCCTATCATGCTTACCTCGTAGAGGATCTTCAGCCCATTTTCACAGTATTGGGGACCACTCTCAAGAAGTGGTTGTAGTTTAATTTTCAGTTATGCCTCTAGTGTGCCCTTTCCATTTTCTTTCAAGAGAATTAAATACCAAATGGTTTTTAAACCCAACTTTAGCTATTTCAATTTTTTTTCCTACTGCCTAATTTTCTTTTTCATTAAAAGGCCTGAAAACTGTGACCTTCAAAAGATAAAGGATTACAAAAATTAAGTATCTAACTTGATCCTTACCACCTAAACCATTTTGTATGGAATACAATCGTCATTATCTAATTAAAATAGCCCAGAGGACTAGTGCACCATAAAAAAAAATTACAGAGGGACCACAGAAATTAACTGGACTTTTTTTTTCTAACTAATAGGCTATTAGACCAGTTCTCAAATTATACTGACATATACTCAGACTATGTCGAAAGTACAAGTAGAGTCACAATGCTGGCACATGTCCTTAGAAATACCCCAAGATGATTCTCTGATGCTCAAATCTTCCTTTTAAGTAAATTTAAAGTCTTTAAAGACTCTATTTTTCAGTTCAAAGAGCTGTGATTTTGAAAAGTAGCCGTTCAGTTTAAGAAATTTGAGGATGTTGTATCCATTATTGTAGAAAATGATTTTAATCCTTTCTATTGAAAGATGCCTCTCTATTAGAGTTTTCACCTAAAACATTCTTTTGGAAAGAATTTTACAAATTGAACATGTGGGCCAGTAGTTGGTGAGCCCGCCTCCAAACACTGACTCATAAACATACTGATCCATGATTTAAAAGTGTTTGGTTATTTTTCTTTTAGAACCAAGACACAAAAATTAATGTGTTTTGAAAGGTGGTTTTTGTTTCCATCTGTTTCTCATTTGCTATACTTTGATTATGTACTCTTTAAAAACTTCAAATATAAAATGTATCTTTAAATTATTGAATGTTTCATCTGTCCTACTATGTGAACATTCTCCTGTGAATTAATGTAAATAGACTATATAGACTGAGCTTTGTAACTTCAAATATTTTCAGGGAGAAACTATTTGAATGGTAAAGAATGTCTATTCCCTCTTGGGGTTTTTTGTTGTTGTTGTTCTATTTGTTTTTTAAAATTTCTCATCTCAAATACATAATTATTTGGAGGTGGTTGCTCAAATGGAAAAATGTTGGCATTCGTGTTGAACATTTTATTTTACTGTAAGTAGTTTTTTGAGAATTTTTGCCAAAAACTGGCTTTCTTAGAGACATAGGCAGCCACCCCTCCTTCAGCTGTACATCCACTTTTCCTTTTTTATGTGGGGGAAGGAGGCAGCCCCCATCCATAAAAGCTGATTTCTGGATTCTTTAATATGGGGACTTTGGGGTGAAGGCATTTCATGAAAATTTCAGTTCATATACAAATGTGTAATGAATATTCCAGGAGAAAATACGTCTCTTTCTGCTGTTACCTCATTTTTTTAACAGCAAAACATTTCTTCTTAGGAAATGTTTAAACTAGCAAGAAAAAGTTTATGCAAATTATTGCCTTTGAACCTTCCTTGTGTTTAAAATTTCTAAATTGTATGTTAGCTTTTGATTCCAATGTCCTTTCTGACTGTTCTGGTTTGAGTTAAGTTCTTATCACAGCGGCAGAGCATATCAACCTCCCCTAAGAAACCATTTCCTGGAATGTGAAGTCCGGGTGCCATTGGCTGTCTACTTGCAGAAAGTTTTATGTTCCTGCGTTTCTTTTTTACGCACTCTGTTGGGTTGATTGTGACTAAAATCAGCTGAACTTTTTGTATTAGATTATATCACTAAACTGCTACAGTCAAAATGATCAAATCTTTATACAATAGAAAATTACTTAAATTTTATTTTTCTACTGACATTTCTAATTCTGATGTAAATGTTTATCAATAAAGAATTTCTTTGAATTCTGTAAACTGGAACTATTATTTCTTTTTTCAGCTGCCAGTGAGTTTTAATCTTTTGCCATAATTTTGTCTGACTTAAGTTTTTGGGTTTTTTTAAAAAAATAAATTAGTACTTAGCATGTTTTTAAATTTATTTCTTTTATGTTCAATTTCTTACTAATTTATGGTAAAATTCTTCTTCAAAGATGTAATTAAATGGTACTTACATGTGAACTTGAGTCTTCTTAACTCCACTTTGGGGGCTATATCTTACCATTAAGAAGCTTTTGTATGATTCCATACTAGGGTGGCAGAAAGCTGATATAGTATATTAAAAAATTGATTTTTTAATAGTGAGTCCACATGAAGAGTGGCTCCAAAGTCGTTTTAGTACGTTCAGCGACATTGTCTTTCTCTGCTCTACCATTTTCAGCAATTTGGATTATTGAGTTTGGATAGTTTACCTCATGGTCACAAGACGACTGCTGCAGCTCCAGGCATTGCAGATAGATGCACAATGTCTGGTAGGAGACTGCTTATCCATTCTAACTTTTTCTTATTGGGGTATAATATACAGTAAAGTGCACAAATCTTAAATGCAAAGCTTGATGAATTTTCATGTATTCATATATTTTTGTGACTCAGACCAAGCAAGGTACAGGATATTTCTAGGCCCCGGGGGGATATGTGCAGAATTTGGCCAGAAGCCCCCAAGATTGTTATGTATCCAGGGCCCAAAAGAGGAGGAAATTCCAGTTTTCAAAAAGGTGATAATCCCATATTGGACAATAGAAAGAGAGTATGGAAGATGAGGGGCTAAATGTGCTGAGTTTGGCAGAGAACCCCACAAATGATTGCCAAGACAATGCAGTATAATAGTGAACCAGGAATCTTCTAGGGAGTTGGGGGGATTTGTACTCTGGCCAATTGGAGAACCTGTCTAAAGGGGCCAGTCATTGCTCAGTTCCAACTTGTTTCCACTTTGTGGGATTATGAGTTCAGCGTAGCCAGATTTTCCTGATTCTCAAGGGAAGTTGGAGATCAAGATTATTTTATATCTCTCAATTTTTAAGTGCTGACAACTAATTTAAATTAATGTAAAATGCCTTTCATACCAAACAATGTATGTCTTTGAGCTGGAGTTGGCCAATTTTTTTTCTTCTTTACTAAATTATTCAACAAGTAGAAAATAGTTCCTACCCTGGTCACCCTTAAAGTTGTCCAAAAACTCTGATTGTGAATTTGAACAAATGTATGTGCTAGTGATCTGGGAAAAGGAGACTGGCAGAAATGGGATGATGCTGGAGAGAGAATCTGCAGAAGAACAGTGGATCTTTTACCCCAGACTCAGACCCAAGTGATGGGGCAAGAGGCTTCACCTTAGTTTGTCACTGCAGGGTCCATTCATGCTGTCCAAGGAAAAAGACAGAGAATGGTAACCTTCCAAATTCTGGGTCCTTATTTCACATCTATTTCTTATTCTCCCACAAAAAAAGGATCTACTGAAATGGATCATAGACCTAAACAATAGACTAAGCTAAGTAGATTGAAACTATAAAACTCTTAGAAGAAAACGGAAGTTTTGTGGTCTTGGGTTAGGCAGAGTCTTCTCGGATACAACCCCAAAAGCACAAGACAGAAAAATAGGTAAACAGGGAGTATCAAAATTAAAAGTTTGTATGCTTCAAAGGATGCCATCAAAGAAATGAATAGACACCCCGAAGAAGAGGAGGAAATACTTTCAAGTCATATATTAATGAGTTGGAATGTTGTATATATAAAGAACTAACAACTCAGCAATTATATGACAAATAACCCAATCTAAAAGTGGGCAAAGGCTCTGAAAAAACATTTCTCCAAAGAACATGTACCACAGCCAGTAAAGACATGAAAAGATGCTTAACATCATCTGTCATCAGTGAGGTGCAAATCAAAACAACAAAATGCCATTTCACGTCCACTAGGCTGGCTGTAATCAGAGTGTGCAAGGGTGTGCAGAAATTGGAAATTTCATACTGCTGATGAGGATAGAAGATGGTGCAGCTACTTTAGGAAACAGTCTGGCAGTTCCTTAAAAGGTAAAGTGCACAGTTGGCATATGATAAAACAATTCCACAGGTATATACCTATCAGAAATGAATTTTGAAAATGTGCTAAGTGAAAGGAGACAGCCACAAAAGACTACATACTGTGTGATATCATTTAAATAAAATGTCCAGAATAGGCAAATCTTTAGAGACAGAGATATTAGCCTGAGGATGGTGACTGGGGAGAAGTTATGAGTGACTACTAGTGGGTAAGGGATTCTTTTTGGGGGGTCATGAAAATGTTCCAAAATTGATTGTGGTGACAGTTGCACAAGTCGGTGAACATACCAAAACGACTGAATTGTGCACTTTCTATGGGTACATTTTATGGACCAGGAATTATGTGTTAATTAAGCTGTTTTAAAAACATTGCTAGCTTAGAGTCACTGTAATGACCTTTTCATCACAAATGTGTTTTATCTATTCCTTGATTTTAGATAACTCTAAAACTGGGTGGCAGAGACCCAGCTCAGTACAAAGTAACAACAGGGAGCAATTTTCAGCTGGAAAAAACCTAAACCTGAAAAATAGGATGTTAGTTGTTGATGTCTCATCTGCATTTCTTTACTGCCTCCCATAATTGGATTACAATTAAACACCGTTTTTTAATCTGATAAAATGAGAAAGATTATATATGGTTGTACCTGAAGGAAGGAAAAGGGTTTGTGGCAGCTGCTTGAATTCTCAACTACAGTTGTTTCTCGTTTTTTGGTAGTTATATCTATAAAGTCACCACACACACTCAATCAGCGAATACTGAACCCCCGTTGGGGGGAAATACAGGATTGGGTGGGTCCCTGTGAGTCCCTCCAGTCACATTTTTGGCAACTGATCAATACATAACCTTGTTTTATGTGTTTCTATTCAAAGACATCTTATTTAACATATCTTTCCTACAAATAATTACATGTAGTATTTCTTCCTAGTGAAACAATTTTCAATTACAGCATTTTTGTATAAAGTACTCTACTGAAATTGTACTTTAACACCGTCCCTCAATCATACACGCACATACAGTACACACATATAGTACATAAACACCATATAACATACTAGATTCACATACAGAAAACACAGTACTGTGAACACATACTGTATACTGTACAGTAATGCAAATGAAATCCAGAGAAAAAGCTTAATCATTGAAAGTTTTATAGAAACATTAAAAGCTTACTGTTATCGGAGCTGCAGGATGTGTGATGCTGCAATGCACAGTGTGGTTAAACTTTTCGACTTGGTTGCCCATGGAAACTAAGGGAGAGGGAGGTGGAACTTCCTCTGCAGAAGAGGAAGAGGGTAGCAGGTCAATATTTGTCAGTGCAAGCTCAGGAATTTGGCCCTCATGACTTGTTGATGGAGTTGGCAATTTTCCTTTCCAAACTGACTCAAGAAATTGGGGCAGCCTTGTGTGCTTGGCTTTTTGCCTCAAATCTCTAAGCATTTCAGCATAAGGGGCAAATGCAGTGGAGGTAAGGCAATTAAATTTCAGGCTGCGACCAAAAATAGCGTCATACTCTTCCATGTCACTGAAAATTTTTTCCAAGGCAGAATTACATTCTGATATTTTGGCCGCCGTAAGAGGGACAATCCTTGGAGTCTGAGGCTGACTTTCATCAGCGCCCCTGGTCATTGCTGACTCCATTGCCTTGTTTTGCCATCTCGTCCAGGTCTTCATTGGTGGGTTCCATTGCCTTTTCTGCCAAGATTTCCTCCACATCTTCCTTCATATCGTCAAAGCCTTCTCCACTTATTTGCTGGGAAATATACATTATGTTTTTCACACTGTTCTTTATACTTTCTGCAACACCTTCAAAGCCTTCAAAATTTCCGACAGTCTGGCCACACGTTTTTCTGACAGTTATTGATAGAAGCCTGCTTGACGCTGTCCCAGGCTGCGCCAACGTAATTAATAGTATTACGTATAGTGACTGACTTCCAATAGCCCATCATGGAAGCTTCCTTGTTGACCCTGAGAGCATCCAAAGCCTTGCTATAAAGCTGCCTGGTATAATATGCCTTGAAAGCCTTCATTATGCCCCGGTCCAGGGGCTGGGTGAGAGACGTAGTGTTTGGGGGCATAAAAATAACTTTTACATTAGGGTGGGCATTTTTTAGTTCTTCACAGCAATGGACTGGGGCATTATCCAAAATTAATAAAACCTTGAAGGCAAGGTTTCTGCCTCGGAGATAACATTCAACTTCTGGTACGAAGCAGCTATGGAACCAATCAGATGTCATCCCTGTTATTTTGTTCCACCTCCAGTGCACGGGCATGTGGTTCACGCTTTTCCCTTTAAGTGCTTGCGGATTTGGGGCTTTGTACACCATTGGGTTTGCACTTGAAGTCACCCTTGGCATTGGTGCACAATAGCAAGGTTGCATAGTCTTGGAATGATTTAAAACCAGGGGCTTTGAAAGCCGTTTGCATTATATAGGTTTGCTTAGCCAACGTCCTTGTAAAATAAGCCAGTCTCATCAGCGTTGAAAACCAGCTCTTCCACATACCCCTTTTTCTGTATAATACTTAGCAAGTATGTTTTAAATTCTTCAGCAGCCTCCTGATCTGCAGAACTTGCCTCACCTGCAAGTTGAACATTTTTCACACCGTATCGCCTTTTGAAACGTGCAAGCCAGCCAGCGCTGGCTGAGAAGGGCTTAACATTTCTCTGACCCTGAGTAACATGACCATAAATTTCTTTGGCTTTCAGCCTCACCACAGTGCTGTCCACCACACCTTACTTATCAGTTGTCATCTCGTGAATCCACAAATTTAGTCGCTTTACCATCTTTTCCATAGCTTCCTCACGAACTATAGATGTTACTTTAGCACTTTCGGGAGCAACTTCACGTAAGATCGGCGAATTTCCTTTTCATTTTTCTTGATGTACCGGATTCTTGATTCATTAATATTGAACTCACGGCCAACAGCACTACAACTCATGCCCGAACGAAGCTTAAATAACACACGTATTTTCTTCATAAGGCACATGACAGCCTTCTTGGGCTTAGGTACACCAGGCGGCACCTCAGCATTACGCTTAGGGGTCATTTTAAACAGCGAAATGACCAACAAAAAGCACAAAAACGCAAAAAATAAAAAGTGGCACTAAATAGACTGCAAAAAGGGCTCTTATTTACAGCATGAGAGCTGAAGAACGATCGCCTGCCTGGTTCAAATCAACTGGTACAAGGCAGGTTCTCAAATTTTTCACCCTCTGCGCATGTCCAGGAGTAAGCCCAGAAAGCACCACGAACATTGACTTCGGGTTTTAAATAAATTTCAGCACATAAGCGAGTTTAGAAATACCAACCCAGTGAATAATGAGAATCGACTGCATCCCCATAGACATATAATTTTGTTTGAAAACATTTACTCAATCAGAACGGCTAGGTAGCGTTTAAGACTACAAGTTCCAGTATGCACCGCTTCAGACGGAGCCGTGGGTCAGTAGCGGCCCGCCCAAGGCATTGGCCGGGAAGTGTCGCGTTTTGATCATGTGACACCCTTTGCGCATGTGCAAGCGCCGCGGCGTCGCCCCGGCTGCCGCCTAGCCGTTTGCAGCTCTGTGGTCTCCTCTCCCTAGAGCTTTGCCGTTTGGGGCCAACTGCTGCGGTCCTGGGCCTCGGCCCGCGCCGCGTGGAAGCGTCATGGAGGAATTCGACTCCGAAGACTTCTCCACCTCGGAGGAGGACGAGGACTACGTGCCGTCGGGTGAGCGGTTCGGCCTGAAGCTAGAGACGGCGTGCCCTGCTCCGCCCCGCGCCTCACGTGAGGCGCGCTTGGCCCGCCGTGCGTGGGCCTGGTAGCCCCGGTGGCGCTGCTCTCCAGCGTCCCCGTCGTGCGGGCTCCGCACCGTCGCGCGCCTGCCCACTCCGCGTGGTCTTCCTGGGCCGAGACGTGTGCGCGAGGGCGTCTCGAGCAGCCGCTGCAGGTGTCCCGACTTCGGCCGCGGCCCCCTCCTGGAGCGCGGGAACCTTTACGTGTACCCCGTCCTGCTCATGGGGACGCCTGCGCTGCCTGGGGCCGGGACTACACTGCTGAAATCTGAGAGGCCGCCTGAGCGCGGGAAGCTCCGTTAGACTACGTC